TTTCCGGAGGGGGGAGAGGGGGGGGGGGGGGGAGGGGTTCGAACCGGTAGTGACCCCTCCCGGTTTTCGAGCGGGAGCGGGAGGGGGGGGGGGGAGGGGTTAGGGGAGGGGGTTTTGCCGGGAGAGAGGGGGTGGGGGGGGGAGGAGTTCCAGCAGGGGGGGGGATTTTCGGAGGGCGGGGGGGGCGACCCCCGGGCTCCGGAGGAAAAGGTTGGCAATTTTCCACAGTAAAGCGGCGGTGGATCACGCTCTCTCTGATCTCCGGAAACGGTTCCGCGCGCTCACGCCTCGACGCCGGCTACATTTTCTCTGAAAGTTCCCGCGCGAGCGTTGCCTTTAGTGAGAATGTTGAACCTTGGAGGCCCAGCTGCAGCGACAACGGCTCCCGCTCGATACTTCCTCACAGGTTACCGCGAGACACCCTGGCCAAAGAGGCCCCCGAGCTTAGGAACGGAGCTGTCGCTCGAGAGTTCTTCGCACTTCAGTCAGTGGTCCACAAGGTAGAGATTCCCCCCGAAACGGGGTGCAATCGAAGACGAAGTGGGCGGTTATCGAGGGTTTGGGTATACAGAATATTGTAAGGCACGCGTGCCAGTAAGAGCGAACAGTCTTAAAGCTATTGTTGTTGCTGTTCAATATTAATTCCGAAACGCGCGTCTCCAGAAACGGTTCCGCGCTCTCTAGCCTCGACTCCGGCTACATTTTCTTTGAAAGCGAGGCTCCCGCGCGAGCGTTGGTTTGAGTGAGCATGTGGGCCCTTGGGGGCCTGGCTACAAGGACAACGGCTCCCGCTCGATAATTCCTCATAATTTACCCCGAGACACCCTGGCCAGAGAGGCCCCCGATCTCAGGAACGGCGCTCTCGCTCAAGATTTCTTCGCAATTCAGTCAAGTTGGCGGAGGCCCAGCCACGACGACAAGGGCTCGTGCTCGATACTTCCTCACGATTTACTCCGAGAGCCCCTGGCAAGGAAGGCCCCCGAACTCAGGAACGGCGCTCTCGCTCCAGATTATCTCATGATTTATTCAAATTGGTGGAGGCCCAACTACGACGACAAGGGCTCTCGTTCGATACTTCCGTAAGATGTATTCGCAAAGTCCCTGGCCGGAGAGGCTCCCGAACTCAAGAGTGGCGCTTTCGCCCGTGACATTCTCGTGCTTCAAGCAAGTTGGTGGAGGCCCAGACACGGCGACAAGGGCTCCCGTCCGATATACCCCCATATGTATTCCGAGAGCCCCTGGCAAGACAGGCCCCCGAACTCAGGAACGGCGCTCTCGCTCGAGACTTCCTCGCACTTCAGCAAGTGGCCGACAGGGAAGATATCCCCCCGAAAGGGGGTACAATCGAAGACGAAGTGGGCGGGTATCGAGGGTTGGGGTGTACAGAATGATGCAAGACACGCGTGCAAGTAACAGCAAACAGTCTTCACATGATTGTTGTTGTTGCTGTTAAATGTTCATATATAGAGAATTATTATTGCTGATCTCCGCAAACGGTTCCGCGCGCTCTCGCCTCGACGCCGGCTACATTGTCTTTGAAAGCGAGGCTCCCACGCGAGCGTTGGTTTGAGTGAGCATGTGGCCCTTTGGGGCCTGGCTACAATGACAACGGCTCCCGCTCGATACTTCCTCACAGTTTACCCCGAGACACCCTGGCCAGAGAGGCCCCCGAACTCAGGAACGGCGCTCTTACTCGAGAGTTCCTTGCACTTCAGTCAGTAGCCGACAAGGAAGATTTTCCCCCCGAAAGGGGGTGCAATCGAAGACGAAGTGGGCGGGTATCGAGGGTTGGGGTATACACAATACTACAAGGCGCCGTCGCCAGTAGGAGCGAACTGTCTGAAACAGATTGTTCATGTTGATGTTGTTGTTGATGATGCTGTCGTTGTTGCTGATGCTGCAGTTGTTGTGGCACTGCCAAGTTTAAGAACAGTTATTCTCGATCCCGCCTGCCTGGTGCACATGGACATGGCTTTTCAGATTACAGTGCTCCCCCCGGGGCTCGCACCCTGTTTGTTGTAAGGGGAACTCTTCCTCCTCAGATTGGGCACCTGGCCCCCGAACTACAACAACAACAACAACGGTTCCCGCCTGATGCATCCTCGCAATGTATTTCGAAATCGCGCTCTCGCGCGGGTATTTCTTACAACATGTGCAGGAGTCGTGCTCTCGCGTGCTCTCGCCGCGCCTTCGGCGCTCAGGAATTGCGCTCTCAGCCTGGCCTTTCTCACGATTGACTCGAGAATCGTGCAACCTCTTCTGATTTTCTCGCGATTCATGCAGGACTCACGCTTCAGCAACCCGCCTGCTCGACCTGGCCGCCTGGGCCCGCCTTCCCGACCCGCCCAGTAGGGTGTACCCGCCCGATCAGCCCGTCTGATTCTATCATTGTTTTTTCCTAGCCCCCCATCCTGCTAATCTCTCTCGTGCTCAAGTCTTCTCCCTCTACCTTCCATCCTTCCCCTCTTCCCTTATTTCAAAGGCTGCGCCACTACCCCGTGGCAGGTAAGGAAGATCCACCCCCAAGGGGGTACGATGAAACACGAAGAGGGCGGCTATCGAGGGTTCGGGATATAGGTGTTGAACGGCTCGCGGAAAGGTAAGGTCCAACCGTCTTACACTATTGCTGTTGAGTTCTTATGTCTAGAAAGGATTGGTTTTACCCGCCTGGTGCACCTTGTGTTCTTCAATTCCAATGCTCCTCCCGGGGTTCCCACCCTGTCTTTTACAACGTAAATCTTGCGGCTCAGATTGGACCGTTGGCCCCGAACTGCAACAACGACTGTTTCCGCCGGGTACTTGCTCACAGTGTGTTTGAGGATCGCGCTCTCGCGCGGGACTTGTTTACAAGTTATGCAGGAGTCGTGCCCTCGCATGGGACGTGCTCGGAATCTAGTCAAACGCCGCGCCCTCGACACTCAGGAATCACACCCTCTGTCTGGCGTTTCTCACGATTTACATGGAATTCGCGCTACGGCTCGGGATTTCTTCGCGATTCATGCAGGACTCGTGCGTCTGCAGCCCGCCTGCTCGACCTGGCCGCCTGGGCCCGCCTCCCCGACTGCCCGTTCGCCTCACCAGCCCGTCTGGTTCTGTCACGTGTCTTCTGCCACGAGCCCCCGTCCCGCTAATCTCTCTCGTGCTCCATCCTCCTACCTCCCTTTTGGCCCTTCCTTCCATCCTTCCTCTCTTCCCCTGCCCTCGGTGCTGAGGGGAATACACGCTGTAGGGAAGGGAGAGATACCCTCCCTCCAGGGTGTACGACTGAAGACGAAGAGGACGGGTATCGAGGGTATGTGATCTACGTGCTGAATGGCGCGCAAGCAGATAAGGGCGAACAGTCTCAACATTGATGTTGCTGTTTCTTGGCTCCGAGTTTCTACAGGACAACAGCGGCTCCCGCCTGATATTTCTTCACACTCCATTTCGAAATCGTGTTCTCACGCAGGACGCCCTCACAATGGCCTCAGCCTGTTTATCACAGGGCAGACTATTCCTCCTCCAACTGGGCCCCTGGCTCCGCATTTACAAGAACAGCGGCTTCCGCCCGATACGTCCGCACGATGTCTTTCAAAGTCGCGCTCCCGCCCAGGACTTCGCCCGGTCACACTTGCTGCAGAAATCGCGCTTTCGCGTAGGACTTCTCGGCAATTTGCTCCATCGCCGCGCCCTCGACGCTCGGGAGTCGCTCTCTCGCTTTGGGCTTTTCTCGCGATTTACGTGGGAACCGCGCTACTAACCAGCCTCGAACAGATCCCTACCCCTAAGATTGACACGCCAAAAGGCGATGACAATCTTAGGGATTCGCCCTCAAAAAATAAGGGAATCCCTAAGATTGACATCGTGATGAGGAGGTGCCCAGCATAGGGAGACGGATATGTTCCAGGCTGTCAAGCTACCGCTCGAGACCTCCGTTCGATTCATACAGGACGCACGCTTCAGCAACCCGCCTGCTCGACTTGGCCGCCTGGGCTGCCTCCCCGACCCTCAAGTTAGGGCCTCCCCGCCCGATCAGCCCGTCTGGTTCTGCCACGTGTTTTCAAATCCTAGCCCCCCGTTCCGCTAATCTCTCTCATGCTCTATCCTCCCCCCTTTGCTTTCCATCCGTCCTCTCTTCCCTTACCTTCGGTGCTGCACCGAATACACGTGGCAGGTCAAGAAGATATGCCCCCATGTGAGCGGGTATCGCGGGATCGGGATCCACGTGTTGACTGGCACGCGAGAAGGTAAGAACTAGCAGTCTTAAAATAATTGTTGTTGTCGTCGTCCCACCCGCGAACCGGCCCGCGACCCATCCGCGACCTGCCCGCGATCCACCCGCGACCCACCCGCGACCCACCCACGACCTTACCGCGACCCACCCGCCGCCCACGCCCTACTCATCCGCGACACAGCCGCGACCCACTCGCGACACGGTTGCGAGCCACCCAGCGACCCACCCGCGACCCACCCGCGAGCCACCCAGCGACCCAACCCGCGCCCGCCCACTCATTATTTTCATCCACTATGGGTATTTTGGGAATCCCGCTACTCGCCACGAGACCCGACGACTGGCCCTAAGCGAGTGTTTGAAAAGGGCCAAAACGTAGGAACATCCTCGTCCTCCTCAGCTCATCGTCACCTCATCCCCGTCGTCCTCACCCCTATCTACCTCATCCTCGTCGTCTTCTGCCAAGGTTGTGTATCTTCCCTGTTTTGTATTTGGTGGGTTTTGGTCGGCAGCTGTTCGCGAACCGCTCCTTCTGTTAAGGTCTATGTAGATCAATAGGTTCTAGTGTTTTCTGGGGCGGCTGGGGTTGGGTCCCAGGGCCACCCAACATGATCACCACGCTTAATGAAGCAATATCTGGAGTTTCTGGCAACATGTTATACCTCCCCATCCTGCTGGTATGTTGGACCTCCAACACGTCGACTGGCACCAAGAACTCGACGTGCCGTTCTGTGTCGAAGAGTCTACTATCACCACTGGCTCCGACCAGCCCTTCCATAGCCATTTTGTCTCAAGGCATCCTGCACGTGGAGCTCCCGCATCCCAACCTTCGCCCGCGCCCGGACGCGCGCGAGCTGGCACGCCGCCGCCTTTCAGGGGGTTGGCCGATTAAGATGCCGGCGGTCGGTGCGATGGCGCAGACGAAGGGGCAGCGGAACGCACTCGCCCTCATCAGCACGCCAGCGCGTTTGAGGTCGAACGGGCGGGGGGAAGCGATCGCCCTCCTCAACACGGAGCCATCAGGGTGCGCCTGCAACGCGGGACCGAAGAGGGAGTGGCCAGTGTGGCGGTGGAGCCTCGTCGCGCTTCCGTGCATGGCGATCACGGTCGTGTAGTCGGTCATCATGCCGTGCAGCGCGCCTTACTTGGTGGCGCTCGGAATGAGCCCCGCCTCGGCCACCCTCAACAACATGGCGGGCCCGATCTGCGGCTTCTTCACCTGCCCGCTGGTGGGCGCGCTGTCCGACTCGTCGACCTCCGCCCACGGGCGAAGGAGGCCCATCATCGTTACAGCGTTCGGTGCCTTGTGGGTGTCTGGGCTCCTCTTCGCCTCCAGCGCGGCGCTGGTGCCCGCCGGCGCGGCCGCGGGCTTTGCTGCCTGCATGCTGTGGCTGATCGACATCGCGCTCAACGCGCTGTCGACGCCTATGAGGGTGCTGGTGGCGGACCTCGCGTCGAGCGGCCAGCAGGTGCAGGTGCAGGTGCTGGTCGCCTGCTTTCAGGCGGTCGGCTTCCTGATCGGCTTCTCCACCATGAAGGTCTATGGCGACGACGGCGGCCTCTCGAAGCACATGCTCGAGATCATGGTCGTGGTGTGCTGCACTCTCACGGCGGCGGTCGCCGTCATGCTCTGCGTCGCCGTGGAGAAGCCGCTGGCGGGCGACGGCGCCGCCGGGCAGTCCAGCCCTGTGTCGGACGTGCTGAAGGCCGTGCGGGGGAGCTCCCTCCTGCTGAGGCGGCTGGCCGGCGTGCACTGCCTGGTGTCCGTCGGCGCGACGGTGTGGCTCTCGTACTCCGTGCAGTGGTTCAGCCTCTGCGTGTTCGCGGGCGATCCCGTCGCGCCCCCGGGCTCCGAGGCCCATCGCTCGTACGCCTCTGGCCAGGATCTGGGCCTCCTGGATGAAATCGGAGTAGATGGGGTCGGAGGATCGCGCCGCATCGCCGATGCATCGCCGATACGGCTTGATGCGGAGGCCGATTTTCTCTACGCACGCGCCGCCGATGCATCGCCGACGTCGCCGCTGCATCGCCGATGATGGACGATGCGGCACGATCCTCCGACCCCATCTGCTCGGACCAATATTTGGGAGGCCTCTACAGGAGGCGTTCGCGTACGGGGGGCAGTGCGGCTCGCTGCTGAAGTTGCTCATGTCCCTGCTCCTCGTTGTCGCCCTTCACAGGACCTCGCTCCCCCCCAAGGGCGTCTACGCCACCTGCATCTTCGTCGGGGCGGGCGTCAGCTACGCGGCCGCGTTCTTCGTGAAGCACAACGCCGATTTCGCGACGGCTTGCATGGCGCTGTCGGTGCTGCCCTGCGTGGGCGCGCAGGGCATCCCCTGGGGCCTCATCGCCGCCAGCAACAGGGCTGCCGAGGAGCGGGGGCTGCCTGTCAGCACTGCGTTGCAGATGGCCCTCTTGAACTGCGGCCTCGTGCTCGGCCAGCAGCTCACCCACCTGGCGCTCGCTGCGATGGAGAGCTTGGTGGCGCCCACGCTGGCACTCCCCGCAATGCTGGCCGCTGGCGCGGTGGCAATGACCATGGCGGGCGCCGGCGCGCTCCTGCTCCCGAGCGGCGCCGAGGAGCACGACGCGCTGGGCGCGGGCGGGCGCAACGACGGAGCGGACCTGGAGCTCAGCCCCCCCACCCCCCATCAGCGCAACGACGCCGACCACTGACGTGCAGAGGGCGCGCATGAGCGCAAGGCGCACAGCGCGAAGTCGCGAGAGCGCGAGAGCGTAAGAGCGCGAGAGCGCGAGGGGTCGGGGCGGGCGCGGTGCTATGTCCGAGCGCTCCCGGAGGGCGGCAGGCCACGAGACTCTCGCCCCCTCCAGGCCTCGACGACGGGGCATACAGCCTCCCGGGTGCACGAGTGGATTTTCGCCCTTGGAGGGGCGAGTCAACTCGTGCCTCCTCCTTCTCACCCTCCTCCTCCTCCTCCTCTTCCTCCTCCTCCTCCTCCCTTCCCCCCTCAGTTCACTGCTGCTCCTCCCCCTCCTCCTGCTCCTCCTCCTCCTCCTCCTCCTCCTCCTCCTCCTCCTCCTCCGCCTTCTCCTCCTTCTCCTCCTTCGATCCATCCATCTGCTGAAGGGGCGGAGGGCGTGCTCGCATCCTGGAGATTTCCCTCTCGGAGGTGGACGGAACCCCCAGCCTGACACGTCGATTAGTGACTTGTCCATTTTCGGTTCTCGCGAGGCCGCCGCGGCCGTCATTTTCCAGGCTCAGCGCCCGCAAGGTTTGGGCCCGAGGTCGTTTTCACTAAACCACGTTCTACTAAAGGGGGTTCTGTCCGTCCCGGATCCTCTGCGATCATTCGCCTCCGCCCTTTTTTTTCTGATCGGGCGTGCGGCGTCGAATGTGTATATACATTTATTTATACATACAGCACTGTCTGTAACAATTCTACACCCGCTCCGTCCCCCTGATAGCCTGCGCTGCGGGTCGGAATGTTTGCCGGCTGGTCAGCATGTGCGTGTTCCATTTTAACCATCACGTGTTTCGTAGCCTTCATCATGGCAGGGCAATGGTGCAGGCTAGATTCGAAATCACAGTGTTCCTGAGGGGGGCCTTCAGATGGGCCTCGGCACAGGGGTACGTCCGGATTTCTTCGGATAGTCCGACTTGCGCACGACGACCAGGCTCGGCCGGTCCACGTTGTGTTGGGTAAATTCTGGTCACGGGCGACCGACGCAAGATGTCCAGTGAATGCCTGGCACGCGGTTTGCTCGGTATGCCTCCCCTCTCATTGCGTAGTTTTCAATCTTCACTCAGGCCCACTCTGCGCGAAGCAGCCGGCAAGGAGTGTTGACAGGCGCGGGATCGCGACGCGAAAAGAAAACTTGGCTCCGACTAGCTTCGCTGCCGATGGCAGCCCTAGTATGACATCCTTTGGTACCTCACCCTTCACATCTTGCGCTGGTCGCCGGCTCCTCAGCCTTTCGTGCGAAGGCTCAGCTGACCGACACACTGCACCATACGAACGGGCTTTCCAGCCATGACTCCGAACTTACCAAGGTCAGTGTTAGTGTACTGAATTCTTATACGACGTTTGTTTTCGCCATGCGTTGCGCAGTAGTGGTCGTTGGCCCCGAGTGTGCATCCTGAGTTGATGATTTGTCTGGGCGTGGGCTGAATAGCGTCGCCCTCCAGACATGTCGACCCCGCCTCCCAGGTGAGATAGTTTCCTTCGCCATCAAATTCGTCTTCTACCAGTACGTATGGTGGAACGATGAGTCTGGACCCATCGGGGGCTGGTCGGGGTGGATCCTGCACATCAGGGACATCAAGGGCATACGCGGTTTCGTCCAGGCGCTTCACAGGAAGGGTGGGGCTGCAGGACATGCTTCAGCGGCATCGCTCTGCACTGTGCCACGAGGAGGAGGGGGCGGAGGAGCACCAATACTTTTGAGCGTTAATTCCCTTTGGGCATCTGAAGGCCTCTGGGGGCCTCCAGAGGCCTCCAGAGGTCCGCTGGTTCGGAGGCTGGAGGCTGGAGGGTGGGGGAGAGTTAGGTAATTCTTTTGTTGACAGATTCTGGCCAGCTACACCATCCCCCCCCCGCAAAGTATGCCAATTGCCACAGAACAAGTACCACGCCGAAGTACGAATGCGAGAAATGTGCCGTGCAGAAGTGCGAAGTACAGAGGTTCAGGAATCCGAAGTTCGACAAAAGTGTAACAAAGTATATCTAGATACTGTTGGCATACTTTCCACTTGTATGTTTCACATGCTTCTCACTTGTTTCGCATTGTTTTCACACATGTGTTTCACTTCGCACTGTTCCCACTCTTGTTTCAGCTTGTTTCACTGATTTTGTACTTCTGATGTGCGTTCGTACTTTTTTCGCACCCGCACTTCCGCGTTGCACATTTCACACCTGCGTTTCGCGGACCTCGCCTGGCAAGTTGTTTTTGATCCGTACTTAGTTTACAGTCGTGGTATCGTGTCATACGCAACTTATGTTTTTCCTTATGTTGTCAAAATCGAAGATCTCCCGGTCTCGCTGGCCTCGAATCTTATCATTCTATTTCTCTGGGAGAACATTCCGCATGCGTGCGTCAGCCAGATGTCGACCGCAGCTGTGATGACGCGCACATTGGGTAAAGCTAGGCAGCCTTTCTAGTTGGACTGACATTATTTGAGCCCATCGCAGTGATGGACGAGGGTACGGTGACAAGTCCCCCCCGCATCATCCGCCCACCTGTTCGGCAAGCGTGCGAGAGGCAGACCGAGACGGGGGTCTTCCGCCGAGTCTTCCAACCACGGGAGAGTTGCAGGCTGCGCGCGGTAGCATCGACTTGGCATCGCTCGGACGTGTGCATTTTTCTTTTCGGCGAGGACCATCGAGGAGCATCCTTGATCATATTTGGCGAAAAAGCCACGCACGAAGCCGAAAAAAGCACAGGGGATGGACGTCCGAGCGATGGACAGTTGATGCTATTATTAAGGCGGGCCTGTCTTTCTACAGGGGGAATCTTCAGAAATAGTCAAAAATAGTCTGGGGACTATTGTTTGAGCACTTCTTTGCCATTTTGGAAATTGTTTCGCATTTTTTCATTTTTCGTCGAAAATCCCTGTGCAGGGGGTCACACCCGACTTAAGCCGAGAGATGCTCCGCACCTTTGGACACAGGCTGGGCATGTCCTCCTACAGGCAGTTGTTGGACGAGAGAGAGAGAGAGAGAATGGTCTAAGAGTATTCCTAAAGTGGTCAATAATGGTCACACAAATCGTCTCCTGATTTTTTTTTGATTATTTTTGAATTTTCAGTCCTGCGCGATGCCGTCGGGACTGGAGGCACGCTGCACGCTCACGTTTACCGTGCGCCGTGGCAGGCGCTGCCTTGCTGCTCGGCCTCCGGTGCGGGCACGCGGCTCGGCCCGTCGGGCGCCGAGGGAGTCGGAGCAGCATGCGAACGAAGGGGCCCTGGGACATACACAAATAGATACGGACAAATCGCAGGACTCCCCATATTTTTCTTATATTTCCTGGGCTTGTGTCTCCCCCCCACTTCCCATAGTTCCCCATATTTTTATCTGGGTATCGACGATGAAATTGTGTCTGTGTGTTTTTGTTCCCCCCCTGAGTGAAGACCGTTCTGCATTCAGTTTCTGGCAGGATACTTGCTAATTGCGTACACGGTTCGGTGCAGGCGGGATGGGCGGGCCTGCAGCAGCCTCTCCACATTCGCAGCCGTGTGTCTCGGCGGCCCCACAAGAGGGCCGCGCTAGCAGCACGCATGCTGCGCTGTGCACGCGTTGAGTCCAGGACGCAAGTCATGGGCTGGGGGTTGAGATGCTGATCGGGCGTTTGCCAAGGGGTCGCCTATTGGCTGCAGCTGCTCCGCGCGAGCATCGCCCGACGCCTGGGGCCGACCAGACGGGGGACAAGCAGCAGGCATGGCACCTTTTGTGGAAATCGTTGCAGAAGCTTTGTTCGGTGAAGCGACAGCGCTGTGTTCCTCCTCCTCGGTCGTGCCAGGGCGGGGGAGGAAGCAAAAGGGCGATGGCACGGTGTACCTCAGCTTCCGCGCCTCGGACGCGCCCGTCAGCGCGGTCCACACGCGCGGCATCCCTGTGCAGGCGACGGTCGACAATGCGGTGGGGCGGGCGGCGCTTGCCACGCTGTGCTTCTATGACCTATGGCTCTCCTTCTCCGCCGTCCTCCCTCCCTTCGTGCCCGCGCTTGCTCTGGGCAGTCGTAGATCACTGAGTAACGCGCTGGGCCAGTGTATCACCCCGCCAGGGCAGGAACGAGGAAAATGGACGACACCCTTTCGAGGGGCCAGAAGCGGGAGGAGCCAGGGGGGGTCCTCCTGGTGGTGTTGCCCCCCCGCTCGCTCGCGACATCCCCCATCTCCAGGTCATGGAGCCAACGTGGACCTCCTCGCTGGAGTTGGCCCCCCTGGTGGTGGTTGGTGTCCTTTCTCCTTCTCCAGGCAGAGCGGTGAGAGCTTTTTCATGCCGCGGGGCAGGCAGAGGGAGATGCCCGGCACGGACAGGGGTCAGCGTGAGTTGGCGAGGAAAGGCGTCGGAGCAGGCTAAGGGAACGACGGGGAGAGATGGGAATGGACCCGCTTGAAGAAGAAAACACGGCATATACATAAAGTGTTCGGCGCTCCGCGGGGATTTCGAGGATCTGCGCTGGCCCCCGTGGCTGGTCCGCGCGCAAGGGATGGGGGGCCAGCGCAGATCCAAGATATCCGCGCGGACGGTCGACAGTTCATGGTTATGCAGGTTCTCCCTCAACGCTGCACGTGAAAGCAACGAAAGTCAGCGGCGCGCGTGGACGCACGGGATTGCGAAGCAAATGTATCGAGCGGCATGGCGCGGGGACCCACGCATCAGCTACATATGTGGTGGCGCGCACACGAAAGAGTGGTGGTGAGGCCGATTCACGGGTATGAGCAGGAGAAGGTGGTGCGCCATGCGGCGTGGTGGTAAACGAGAGCGCTTTTTGTTATGAACATCCTTTTTTCCCACACCGCAGGCGGATCGACAAACCGAAAGCGTATTTGAATGGGTCTCACTCTTGTCCCGAAGCATGTCCCACCTTATCCGGCACCCGTTGTTTTTCAGCACACAGTGGAATGCTCCAGTGTCCATACTGGTGTGCACGTCAGAGCAATCCCAGACCACCAATTTGCCGAAATTCCACTGCGTCACTCGCGCTGACCCCCGCGAGCCGAGCCCGCCTGAGCCCGTCCCAGCATCCCACAACAGTCGGACGGGGCCAGGGCGAGGATAACTCCGTGCCAGAGCGCCCCGGAACGCTCTCGGAGCGCTCTCAGAACGCTCCGAGAAGGCCGCGGCGCCAGGTACATCTCCCAAGACCGCTGGATCTCAGAGATTCTCGATTTATCCTCACCAGACGTTATCTTCGTCCTGGCTCCGTTTTAAAGTTTGCCTGAACTTGTCCCAGCATCCTACAACAGTTTCCCAGGCAACGCTTCAAAAGGCAGAGGAACTCTCGGTAGCCCCTGGAGACCGTCCTGCAGCGCTCCTGGGAGTCGTCTTGAGCTCTCTTGGACGCCCCGGGGGCTGGCCCAAGAGGGTTTGTCCCACAAAAAAAAGCGTTGCTTCTGTTTTCGGAGCGTCCAGGATGCACAAAAGAGCTCGAGTACCCGCCCAAGAAGCCTCCGAGGTCTCGAACTGCATTGGGGAGCCCTCCACTCCAATCTGGCCCCCGAGACAGCCAGCAGGCCCCAAGAGGCCCCCCAGATGCTCCCAAGAGGCCCCTCGGACGGCTTCCAAGAGGCTCCGAAGAGGTTTCCAAGAGGCCCCAATAGGCATCAAATATGCTTCTTGCTCACGACCCAGGCACGATGGCAAGATGTACCCAGACATGCAGATGGGCGCTTCGTCCACCTTGCTCCTGCCTTTCTGTGTTGGGTCCTCGCTTCGAATACGGATCGCACCGCGTCTTTCCTTCCTCGCTCTCTTCCCGTCCTCCCTTCTCCCATTTGTGCCCCTGCCCTCCGCTTGTCCTCCTAACCATCAGCATCATCGTCAGCAACGTCATCGTCGTTATTATCGTAATCGTCGTCATGATTATCGGCATCATCATCGTCATCAACATCCTCAACATCGACCCTAGCCGCCCCATTAGGAGCTCCACCGAAGGTCCCAACAGCACCGACAGCATGCGGACCCCCGCCCTTAGCACACCCTTACGTTTCGTTGCCCCACAGGGATGTCCACCTGAGGCCCCCGTGACAGCGCCTGCATGGCGCCACCCCGCCCTGCTGACACGCCCCATCACACGTCCCGTGACCCCACAGGGAGCCCCACTGAAGGCACCGATTGGCAGCGCCCGCGCTGCGCCACCCCGCAGATTTCGGCGTGCCCCTTACATGCTTCGTGAACCTACGGGGAGCCCCATGGAAGGTCCCAGCGCCCGCATGGCGTCACCCTGCACGGTTCAGCATACACCTCACAAGCTTCGTGGTCGTGGTTCCACATGGAGCCCCGCCGAGGGCCCTGGTGGCAGCGCCCGCATGGCGTCACGTCGTCTCTGTCGGCAAATTCTTCACACGCTTCATGGCCCCATACGCGGTTGTCCCAGTGTCAGCGCCCGTATGGCGTCACTTCGCCCATTTCAGCACATCCCTCACACGTGTGGTGGCCCCATACGGAAGGCCTTAATCGTCCCAGCTGCTTTGCGGTACTCGCGCTTGCACATGGTCGGGTCTTTCGCCAGGATGGTGTTTCCTGCCCTGAGCTCCCCCTGTCCACTTGTGGCCCTCTCCTCCCGATGTGCCAGAGAGGCAAGCGTGGCTCGCCGTCAGAGAGAACAGGGGTTGGAAAGAGAGAGCGAGAGAGAGAGAGAGAGAAAGACAGAGAGATGAAAGAGAGAGAGAGAGGCATATACTGCCAGAGACATAACGGGCGGAACAAGAGAGAGAAACAGCAAACATAACAACACAACGCACGCAAGGGAAAGTGCTCACGAGAAGTGCGCGCGCGCATCCCCCCACGGGATTGAGGAAGTGGGATGCTCCTTTGCGTGTTTCGCGATGTTCGTGTCGCAGCCTTCCCACCCTGCCCCGGCTGCGCACGAGAGCGAGCTCCCTCTGCGAACGCGACCCTCGACGTAACCCTCCCTTCTTGAAGGGGGGGGAGTGCATTGGCGATGCATCCTCGGGAAATCGCTCCGCGGTAATGACTATCGCATTGCCGCCCCGCGATTGAAATGCCGAGCGATTAATTGTTGGCCATCGGCCGAGCGCGCGTGACATCGTATCGCGCTCGTGTCGGCGCGCGGTGCCATGTAGACTACGGGTGCGCCGCGTCGGCGACTCGGCTCGGCGACGAAATTACCCCCGCTGGAGTCGTCGCGCGGCGCCGAGCCGCACTTTCCCTCTCCTGGTTAGCGGTTCGCGCTCGCGCGCGCAGGGGACGACGCGCGCGTCGCATGGCTGGCCGGATCCTCGGCACGCATGACGTCGCGCTGGAGTCGGCGCGAGGCGCCCATCCCATGTCTCGCGGGGCGAGGTCGGCGAATGGAAAGACGCCAGTTCCAGTCGCCAGTCAAACGCCGCACGGGGTGGGGGGTGGCTGCATCAGCAAACGTCGGCAGAGAGCGCCGCGCGCGAGCGGCGCGCAGAAGCGCCATCGGGGCGCGCCGCAGCGCGCCGCGTGCGAGCGGCGGGCACGCACGACACCGCCTTCGGAGCGCGCAAGGATGCGCCGCGCTCGAGCGCGCGCACGAGAGAGCCCGTGAAGCGCGCCAGAGTGCGCCGCGTGCAAACGGGCGCGAACGAGAGCGCCCTCGGGGCGTGTCCTTGAGCGCCGCGAGCGGAAGGTCGCGCACGAGCGTGCGCCGCGTGCGAGCAGGGACGAAGATGCGCCCTCGGGGCGCGCCCATGAGCAACGCGTGCGCGCGGGCGCGCACGAGCGCGCCCCTCGGGGCGCGCCCCTGGGAGCCGCCTGCGAGCGGGCACGCCCGAGAGAGCCGTCGGGGCGCCCCGGAGGGTCCCGCATGCGACCGGGCACGCTCGGATGCGCCCTCGTGGCGCGCCAGAATGAGCCGCGTGCGATCGGGCACACGCTAGAGCACCCTCGGGACGCGCCAGAATGCGCCGCGTGCGAGCGGGCACGCGCGGAAACGTCATCGGAGCGCGCCGAGGCGCACCGCGCGCGAGCGGGCACGCACGAGAGCGCCCTAGGGGCGCGCCAGGTTGCGCTGGGTAGGAGTGGGCACACACTAGAGCGCCTTCGGGGCGCGCCAGGGTGCGCCTCGTGCAAGCGGGCACGCACGGAATGGCCCTCGTGTGGCGCCCGCGCGCGGGCGGTGCAACTCTGAGCAGAACCGCAAAATTCTTCGGGGGACTGCAAAGATGGTTATTAAGTTTGTGGACCCCTCTTCCTGACCATCCCCGCGCGAAAGAGACAGAGATGGAAACATCAGTTCGGTGCTACGCACAAAAGGAGGAAAGCGTCGCACGCCTCCCGAACCGCTTGGAGGCGGGCGTGCAAGCCTCGCCTGCCAACGCAGTGCATGTGGCACCTCGCGGAACGCTCCGACCCTCAGTCGCTCGCTGTCTGGCGATTGTCGGGGTCGGCGCTCGCTCCGGAGACAGAGGGAGAGAGAGGGAGACAAACAAATAGAAAAAGAGAGGGAGTGTGAGAGAGAGCGAGAGAGAGTCAAAGAACGAAAGAGAGAGAGAGAGAGAAACAAAAAGCGAGAGCGAGAAAAACAACGAACAAGAAACGAAGGAGAGACAACGGTCTGGATCTTCGCGACTGGCCATGACTGGTGTCACGCGGCACGCAGGGCTGGTCACGGGGCAGCTGGCGTTGGCGCAGCAGCGTGGGCTTCGTGGGGGTTCGAGTTGCTTGTGCACCCGCCTCGCCGAGCCCGATTCTGGTTCGGCAAATACACATGTCGCCAATGGCTTGCCAGGAGGTGCGACCGGCCGCTTGCCAGGAGGTGTAATGGGCTGTTCAGAGAGGACCTTCTCGCGCAATGAATGACAACGGCTGCGCTCCCATGTGCGACTGTCGGCACTTAGGTGTGGCTCCTTACGGCTGCGCCAGCGTGCTCTGCAGGGACATCCAGCTTCGCTGGGGCGCATGCCCACCACTGCGTTTTTGGACCATGGTTCGGAAGGCCAAGACGTAAGCTCTTTGTTTCGGGAGGTACTGGAGGGGGGTCCCAGGGGCAGGCCGCGACGTGCTCTCAGGGCCACCTCCTGCATCCTTTCCTGGCCTGGGCCCGTCGGAAGGTGCCTCTTCTGTAGCCCCTTTGGCTCAAAGGGCCCGCGAGGCACGGTGCGGCAGCGCAGTCTTCCAGTCGAGAGGCTGCCTTGCCGCACCCCTCATGTAAGAATAGTAGTCTGCTGGCCTAAGACTGGCTTCAAGCTGTGCGAAAGAGAGGACGATGGCCCGGATGGTGCCGCCGGGGGCCCCAGAGCCGCCCGCCGCGGCGCCCGTCGCCGCTGGCGGCCGATTGAGGCGCGCCGCGGCGCTGCAGGACGCGGCAAAGCTCGTGGCCCTGCTGGACGCCGGTGGCTGGACCGGCGCCACGCTCGACGCCTGCGTGGACAGCTCCGGGAAGAGCCCGCTGCACCTCGCCGCGTGGCGCGGGTGCATCGAGAACGTGGTGCTGCTGCTCGAGCGGGGCGCCGACCTCGAGGCTATATCCACCGCCCCCACGAACTACGGCAAGACACCCCTCTTCTACGCCATCACGCGCTGCCGCGGCGGGGTGGTGGAGCTGCTGCTTTCCAGGAGGGCCTCCGCCAAGGTGGTCAACAACAAGGGCCAGACGCCCCTTTCCCTGGCCGCGTCGCATCTGAGCCAGGAGGGCGTGGCCGCTGTGCGGGCCCGGGAGCTTCACGAGAGCACGGCGCCGTGGCGTAACTTCTACGCGTCCCATTGGGACGGGGTGCGCTACGGGGACCTCGACCCGCGGTTCTTGCCCGCCGATCGACGCGAGCCTGGCGATGTGGAGACTGCCTTGGCGATCAACCCGACGACCGCAGAGGGCCGTCGGGGTGAGAATTTCCGGCGGCTGGAGGCTCGGGGGTGGCCAAGAGAGGGGTGATGACTAAGGGGGGGGGGATCATGGTTGGGGGCCCCATGAGATCTCCTCAGATTTCATGGCCCCCCTTCGTATTTCAATGTGTTCCCTGCCCCCTCCCCTGGTCCGCGCGCATGCCTCGGGCCTTGATTTGCGACCCCCCCTCTTGGAACCCTCCCTCTCGGACACCCCCGAGAGGCGGAACGGCGCCCCGCTGCCGCGGCGCCCATCGCGGCCGCAGCCGCGAAGGCGGCCGAGGCGCCCGAGAGGGCACCAGCGGCCACCGACGCGGAGGTCGACTTGGCGTGGCAGCTGCTGGAGGAGGGGCTTGCAGAGGTCGGCGGCAACCACGGGCCGGACGCCGCGCTGGCCGCAGCAGACGAGCTCCTGGCACTGCTGGGGCGGGGCAGCCCCAGGTCCGCATGGCTGCAGACCGCGTCCGAGCACCTGCGCCAGCGCCTGAGGTGCGCCGCTGGTGAGAGCGCGCTTGGCCGGGCACTGCTCGCAGCCGAGAGGCAGGCCCAGGAGAGCACGGCGCCCATCTCCAGGTCGCAGAAGCTCCGGCTGCGCTTTCTCAGAGGCGCCGCCGGGCAGCGCGGGTTTGGCTGCGCAGCGGCGGTGCCAAGCACGGCACTCCGACCCAGTGGCGAAGAGTGCCACCTGCAGGAGCGGCTGGCCCGGCCGCCGCCGCCCAGGCCGCAGGGGGGACAGAGGCAGCCTCTCGGGCTGCAGGAGGGGAGCACGTGCGTGTGGGTGGACAGCGCTGCGGGCACCCGCGACATGCGCGCTGCCATGTCCGGTGCTCAGCACGTGGCCCTGGACACGGAGTGGCGGGACACGAGCGACGCGGCGGAGTCGCACCGCGGCGCCAGGAGCGACACCGCCCTGGCCCTCATCCAGCTCGCGGTCGCAGAGCGCCAGCCCCCGGAGGACCTCTGGGAGGAGGGCCCCCTCCCCGCGGCGCGCTGCTGGCTGGTGGACGTCTGCGTGGCGGACACGGACGAGGACTATGCGGAGGAGCTGGCCCGCACGTGCGGCTGGCTGCTGGCGGGGGGCTCTGGCGCCGTGCTCGTGGGCTTTGCGCTGTCCGGCGACTTGGCGCTGCTGGAGGAGCTGGCCGGGTGCCGCTGCGAGGCCCCGCTGCTCGACCTGCAGAAGCTGGCGGTGCACGCCGGCTGCGGCAGCCACCGGTTCATCTCGAGGAGCGAGAAGGAAAACGGCCTGAGCACAAATGGTCGGAGCCCCGCGCGCCAGGGAGGGGGGGGGACACCGCGCGGATCAAAGAAGCTTGCCCAGAGCTCCGCAAGTTTATGCCCGGGCCGCTATGTTCGAGTAGAGGATCGACTACAGCAGTGATTGTCCCCAGAATTTAGTCTTCTGGTTGAAATCACAGAGACTCCGTAGAACGTAGATGTGCGAATCTTCTACATGTTGTTGAAGCATCGGCGTGACAATCAGTTTTTACGATCCCCTACTCGATTTCTGTTCCTCGGTCGTCCCTTCGCTGAAAGCCGTGGTGGAGCGGTGGGTGCCGGGCCACACCCTGGCCAAGGCCGCGCAGGTCTCCGACTGGGCGCGGCGCCCGCTGACGACAGAGCAGCTGGAGTACGCGGCGCTGGACGCGCTGGTGCTGCTCCTGCTTTGTGGGCGCATGCTCGGATCTGCAGAGGACGGTCTTCCTCCTCCTCCTCCTCCTCCTCCTGTTCCTCCTCCTCCTCCTCCTCCTCCTCCTCATCATCATCATCACCATCATCATCATCATCATCATCATCTTCCTTCTTCTCCTCCTTCTCGCCCTCTTCCTTCTCGTTCTCTTCCTTTCCCCCTCCTCCTCCTCCTCCTGATCCTCGTGCTCCTCCTCCTCCTCCTCCTCCTCCTCCTCCTCCTCCTCCTCCTCCTCCTCCTCCTCCTCCTCCTCCTCCTCCTCCTCCCCCGGGCGTCCGGTGTCACCTCACAGGCTGGGTGTCAGACACAGGCCTTCGGTGGCATTTCATGGAAGCCTGATGCTGTCAGGAACTATCTCTTAGCGTGTCGTTCCGCTGGCTCTGGCCCACCGCGCTTCGGCGCGACACGCAATCCACGTCCTGGCCTCAGGCGTCAACGTCTCAAGCCTGCTCTGGCCTCCCGCCCCGCGGAGCGGAGGGCGAACAAACATAACTTCTGGGGATTTGTCTCGCTGCGTTGAACCATTCTATTTGCTTTGATGATGCACCGCGGGGGCGAACAAAAATAGAATGATTCAGACTTCCTCTCGGCATCGAACGATCGATCGAATTCCAAACTGAGCGACACGCCATCCGCTTGCAGGGCATAGCGTGCTGATGGGGCCGCCGCGGCGACACGCTGGGCCTCTGGGCAAAAGTTCCCGACCGCACGTCCTCCAAGCACCGTCTTGAGATTGGCGCGATCGTGCGCCAGCCTCCTGGTAATCGAGGAGGATGCGCTGAATCAGCGTCTATGAGCTTCGATGCAGCGTCGATGAGCGTCGATGAGCGTCCGCCGGCGTCGATTGGCAGGAGCCCGCAACACGGCATGGGAGGCTCCCGCGAGTTGCCATAGAACATGCATGCACGCACGCATGCCTTTTGTTCTATTGGTCCGGAGGCCGTTTCTGGGACCTGGGGGCCGCCACCAGAGCAAACGTCTCTTGACGAACAGCCACCTCCCCGGGAGGTGGGGTCGGTAGTTCTGGGGGCCAGGGCCTCCAACAAGTCGAGTCGTCGAAGTTGCGGGGCCACAACATTCGATAGTTCGGGGCTGTGGAGCGACCTTCACCTGACAAGCGTGTTCCGCACGGGACGCGCCGCTCAGCGAGGGAAGTGCAGGGTGGGGTGCACAGCTTCCTGGGCGAGACCGTGTCCCTGAACATCAGCAGCCCCCTCACCCTCGTGATCGTGGACGTGATGTTCCAGCAGAAGCTGGGCGAGCAGCCCGAGAAGGAGGGGCAACGGGGGGGAGACAGGCAGCCTCGAGGTGTGCTGCGGATCCCGCTCCCGCCTCCTCCCCTTCTGCGCCGCACCCGCCTGCTGCTCCCCTGGCATCGCTCGGACGTGTGCGTGTTGGTCTCGACGTTTCAGGCTGCGCCCTCCCCCTTTCCTCCCCCCCATTGGCCAACTCAAGCTTCGCGCGGCCCGCTTCGCTTCGACCGGAGGAGGTGCGCTCTCGACCCGCGAATCGAAGAAGTGCTTGTCTCGACGAGGGCCCTCGAGGAGCATCACGTGGACCATCCTGCGGACAACGACGCGCACGAACCCCCCCAAAAAATGCACGGGGGACGGACGTCCGAACGATGGCGAGCTCCCGCCTGGTGCCGCCTCGAGCACCGCCCGGGGCACCTCGCCCCGCGCGGCACGCTCCCGGCAGCAGCGCCCCGCGCGGCACGGGCACGCCGTGGGTCTTGTCGCCTCGTGCCGTCTCGCCTGCAGGAGCGGGGGTGGGGAGGGGGAGGGCTCCCGGGAGGGAGGGGGCGGAGGAGGGGGCGGGGGGAGAGTGGAGGACAGGGGAGGGAGGAGGAAGGAGAGAGGGCGGGATGGACGGAGGCACGGAGAGAGGGGCTCGGAGGATTGGGGGGCGCGCTCGATTGGGGGGGGGGGGTCGGGCTCGCCAGCCTGGAGGGGAGACCCCTCGGGGACCGACCGCCCTGCCGCTGTGTCGCCGCCTCTTGCAGGGCCGAGCGTGGGGGAGGGCGGGCGGGGGGGCTATGGCCGGGGGTGGGTGGCGTTGCCTCTCCCGGCCAGCGGCTTGCCCAGCCCGCGGCCGCACGGCCACGGCAGCGGGGTCGAGGTCGAGGCCGACGGTGGCCTTCTCGCGCTCGGGCGGGCCCTGCTCGTTCGGTGGCCTGGCTCGCCTGGCACGGCAGAGGGTGGCGGAAAGCAGGCGGCAGTGAGACGGGGGCGGCCCCGGCGGCGGCGGCGGAACGCGGCGGAAGCAAGAGGCTAAGGCGAATCTCTCTAAGACAATGGCAGGTTTTGTATCTTCGTGCCATGGCGCCTCATGTGCACATGCAGTGGAAGCCCATGCCAAAAGAAACACCCTGCTTGCCTCGAGGGTGCCCTGGGTTTCTCGAGTCTCGATGATTTTTGCCATGGGAAACGTGACGTTCCAACACCAGAAAGACGCTGATGTCCTGGGGTCTCAGGGTTGGGTTTCTTTTGGAAGGTTCTTTGTGATTGAGTCCCTACTGTATACAGTCGCATGACATTTGCGCGTGCTCAGAAGTATCATGAAGACCACAGTTCGACGAGCCAGCCCGAAATATCCTCAGCCCGTTTTTATGCCTGTCACGTCTCGACAGTTTGCCAATGTCAGGCGACTTTCATACCATGATAATGAGGGCCCACATAGCTAGGAGTCGGCTGCAGTGCGGGTGCGTGGGTGGGAACCCTCATGCAGTTTGCAGCGCCCCGTGGTGGGGGACCGAGGGGCTGCTCTGCAGCGTGATGGCACTGAGGCAGACTTCAATGGCGGGGACACGCTGTCAGCGGCGATTTTTGTTATTCAGGTTCCCTTCGTTGTTAAGAAGTTGGACGAGGGTATTGGAAAGAGAGCCTTCACCGCAACTAGTTGTGGTGTACAAGTGGGCTGAAACATAGCAAGCATGAACGGCTTTAGGGGCGCCCGTCGGGGCTCAACGCAACCAGGCAAGCCGCTGCTGTCGCACCGCATCACCAATCGACGTGGCGCGCCTCGAAAGATTCCAAGCGACAGCGGGCAACCGCGGAATTCCGCCAATCCGAATCGAACGTCCCAAATGGCACCCCGAAAGCGCTGCGAAAGCAGGCGCTACAGGGGGCCACCACGACGAGGTCTGGCACTGCCTGACCGCGTCGCGATGACGTCTGACCAGGTCTGGCGTCGGTGCCAAAACCGCCCCCCCCGTCCAGGGCCCCGAACATGTATCAATATCCTTGCGTAACTTGCCAATCGCAAATAACCCCAATATCCGGGGAAAGTACTCAAAGATATCCAATCCTATTCAAAGATATCCAAACTGGACGATTCGGGATTTGGGCTTGCATTCTGAGTTTGTCTTGGGGCAGGGAACGCGCCGCCCGGTCGACCAGCCCCCCTCGACGAACCAACGCGTGCTGTAGGTTTCGCCGCGTATGCGTTGCGATCGATTGCGCGGGGGAACCAACCGTGGCGCGCGTTCAGACGCGTGTGCGAGCTCAATCCCAGAGAAGAGTTGCCCTCCCCCTTGTGGCCAGCACCAAAGGTGAGTTCTGCGAATGGTCACTCTTACGTGGTTGGATGTATACTGTGGGAACATTTTTGATTAATTTGGTGTTTCTTTGACTCACTCTATAACCATTTCTAAACCGTGTGGCGATTCTGCTGACCCAGGCTTGGTATCACTGTCAACAAAATAATGGATACATGTTGCTCATTTTGAAACGAGCGGCGAAGTCTTGGACCACAGCCATTCTTCATTGTAGGCGTTGAGTGCCATCTTTCCCGTCGCGAAGAAGCGATGCACCACTTCTGTATCATTCGATGCTCCGTTGTATTATTCGATAACAAAACGATAGGGCCGTTTTGTTAACGGTTCCGTTTTGCAGTTTTTTTGCTGGTTCCGACGCCGTTTTTGTACCGGTTCCGTCGCCGTTTTTTGACCGGTTTTGGTCCGGTTCCAAGCCTGAAGCCGTCTTTTGCCGTTTCGGGTCGCCGTTTTTTTGCCGTTTCCATGTTCAAGGGACACTTTTTCGGAAACGGTGAAAAAAACGCCCTGCCGTTTCCAGGAGGATCAGAAGCCTCTTCCCTCTGCCGCCGCATGCGCTTCTGCATTCTCGCCAGTCTGGGACTCTGTAAGGGTTCTTCGAGTGAGTCTTCGGACTTTCGTTTGCGCGCCCTGCGTGCGTCCTCTTCATGCAGCGGCTGGATCGGGCTCGAAATCCTGGTCAGATGAGCCCCTCGAGTTGCTCATACCTCTCTGACCTCAAGCAGCCGGTGGGGTGTTGCGTCGGCAGGTGGCGTCGGCGTTGTGGGACCCGTGGTGCGGAGCTCTGCTCGACAAGTGCTTCAACAACTGGGAGCGCTGCAACCCGCAGAACCTGCGAAATGTACCCGCTTTCTCCACAAAGACGACGATGACGATAAGGCCGATAAGTATCAGATGAGGAACAGATATCGATAGCGCTACCGCTACTGCTACCCTTCCCTTGTCGCCACGGCCGGATTCACGTCGATATTCTTGTCAGAAGGCACCCTTGAAGCGGTCTTGTGAGTAGTGGTATCGGTATGAGTTCTTGCTTCCCAGAGGATGATTATGATGATGAGGAGGAGGAGGAGGAAGAGGAGGGGAAACAAGAGCACGGTGGATTGTTCAGAGTTTGTGGTTAAGCTTGTGTTTCTGGAGATCAGGGCTCTAGGTTTCTGCCGTGCAGGCGGCGGTATGAGAGATGGCAGCAGCATCGAGACGTCGACGATGGCAGCACTCGCAGAACAGTTCATAGTTGGCGTTGCGTGGCGCAGCTGGCTCGGGCAGTGGCGAGATCACGAATAAAAGGCTGGCAGAGCTCAGGTGCCGGGTTCTCAGGCTCCGTAGTCAACGCGATGGCGAGCGAAGTACCCCGTTGGGACATTCCAGTCTATAGCATGCAGGTCTTCATTCGAGAACCTACGCTTTCGAGAAAAAAACACTCGAGGCTTGCAAGGCAGGTTTGAGTTGCCCCCATGGCGGTCTGCGATGTTTGCTCATCGCCTGGTGGCCATGGTCTCTTCATGTCTATGGGCCACAGGATGCGCACACCTTTTTGGTCTCGCACGTGCCCGTCTGTAGCCTACCGCCCGTGGGATCGTGCCAGGGTCCAGGGAATCTAATTGAAGCGGTCTGCTCCCTGCTCCCCTCTCCCTCCTTGTTTTTCCTCATCCTTCTCCCCGCCTCCTCGTCCTCGTCATCGTCTCGCTCCATCTTGCTCCTAATCCTCTTCTTCCTCGTCCTGCTCGTCGTTTGCCTCTGTCTGCCCTCCGCATCCTCTTCGTCTTCCTCCCTCCTCGTCTTCTTCCTGTTCATCCCCCTCCTTGCCTTCCTCCGGAGGGAGTAGTGAGGGAGGGAGCGGGGGGTGGGGGAGGAAGGAAGGAGGAGGTAGGGGGGAGGGAAGGAGGTTGGAAGATGCAGGGAGAGTGTGAGCAGGAAGGGGAGGAGAGCAGGGGAGACAGGACGCACGCTCAATTCGATCTTCCTCGTGACCGTCCTCCCACGTCTTCTTCTCCGACTCTTCCCCCCCTCCCCCCCTCCTGCGGCTCGGCCTGTGCGGGAGCGAACTGTGGTCTGGTTGTTGCCTGACCTGCCGCCCACCCTGTCACTGGCTTCATCGGCCAGCTTTCGGCCTCGGCTCGGATGCTAGGCCTTGGTTGCCCCTTGTCCCTCACTCCTTCCCGCAGCGCCTTGCCAAGCTCTAAACTGCATGCAAACCTCTGGCTGAACCTCACCAGAGCGAGAACTGGAGTCGGCTTGGCAACGGTCTGTCTCTACACCGAGATGAGTGGGGTCTCAGTCGAGCCGCTTTGTTTTTGCCTCACCATTCTCCCACAACGTGGACCCCCAGAGGTCTGGAACTCTTCCCCAGGACAGTTTATTCGTCGCGGGCCGATGTTCGACGGTGCCGGGAGTTGGTTCGAAGAAGAAAAAACGCCAGAATCATAAATTGCTGTCTCTCCGCGCGGATTTCTTGGATCCGGTAATATTGATGATGTTGATGAGGATGATGTTTATGATGATGTGTTTGTTGATGATGATGATGATGATGATGATGATGATGATGATGATGATGCTGATGATGATGATGATGATGATGATGGTGATACTGATGATGTTGATGATGGTGGTGTTGGTGCAGATGATGATGATACTAATGATGGCGATGGTGATGACATTGATGATGATGATGATGATGATGATGATGATGATGAGGAGGAGGAGGACGACCACGATGGTTATTATGATGAAGGTGTGGAAGAGGGTGATGCGCGATTTTGACGTGATGGTATTGCTAGCAGTACTGAGCCAAGGATGTTCCCCTTGGTGCTACTGTTGTTAGTTTTGTTGATGAACACGATGGTCATGATGCTTATTATGATGACGATGGGAGGAATGATGAGGAGGAGTACGTATGATGGTCGGGATAGGAATGTGGACGAGGGCGAGGCTGGCTACGACTATGGCGCGCCCTTGTGCATCACAGCGCTTTTCAAGCTCTTACAGCGACCCTGGGGCCTGGGCTGGAACCTGAGCGCGCGCCAAGCGCGCGATCTTTCTAGCCTTATAGAAGAAAACGTTATAAACATAGTTTGTCTGAACTCCGCGCGGATTTCTTGGATCGGCGCTTGGGCGCCCCTGGCGGCGCCTCCGGCACCGCCCTCGGCCCGCTCCGCGCGCCAGGGGCGCAGGGCGCCGAAAGTGCATGTTCGTGCGGTTTTTGGTCCCTCTGGATGCGATGCTGGCTGGTCCCCCTGAAAGCGTTGATACGGCGGCCGCGGTGATCGTCGACTCCGCCATGGCGGCCGGCGCCGCCAAACTCCGATCGCGCAGCGAGACTTTGGACGGCGACTGAGAGTGAGGCTGAGCTACTTGACATGTGCGACGATGGGGACTTCACCGCCGATCGTGTGAAGACTGCCACGGATTAGGATGCAACATTTGGGAGGTTGCATTCTGAAGCGGCGCTGGTATATCCCTGGTCGAGAACTGGTGTAGTCCGGGATAGACTCGCTTACTCCAGCTTATTTCCCCTGATTCCCGCTTAATCCCACCTCATCCGAATCAATCCCGGGCCTAATCCGGCTTAGTCCGGCTCCATGGCCCCTGACTTGGGCTTCATAGCCCTTCATCGTGTTGGCGAACACCTCCCAGGAGTTGCCTCCCAACATGGAGCTGGCGAGGAGCAAGGACGCAGTGCATGACAGCCGAGCATCGGATTCAGAAGCCTCCCTCCGAAAAGCTGGCCCAACTTCTTGAGCACGTGAACCGTTCGCCCCCTGCAGCGCGAACAACAGAAGTTGACCCAGGCTTGTCTGCAGAAACTTCTGCGAAGCCGGCCCAGATGTCTCAACTGATACGTTTCTTGATCATATTCGCGTTTGCACTACGAAGACCCCCCTCCAGCGGACGGGGCTAGGACGAGGATCAATCCGTTCCCTTGCGTTCCGGAGCGCGCTCAGAGCGTTCCGGAATGCTTCTAGAAGGCCGCGGCACCCAGCACATTCTTCTGAGCCGCTGGCTCGCAGAGGCTCTTGGAGATTCTCGGCTTATCCTCACCCGATGTTATCCTCGTCTTGGCTTCGTCTTATCGTCCGCAGATCCAAGTTCATGTGTACAAGGGAATCACTCAGTGTTCCAGCGCGGCCTCTTCCTTTTTCTACTGAGGGAATCACGTCCCGAGTAGAGCAACACGAACCACGATTCTCGAGTTATCCTCTCCCGATTTGATCCTCGCCCTGGTTTCGTCTTACCCCCGTCCCCCCTGGGGAGAGTTCGACGCAGCGTCGTCCGGGAGCACTGTCGCTTGCGATACTGTGTGGTTCACCAGTGTTGGCAGTATTCTCAGGATTGCTTCACGTTGGTGCTTTGTCGGGGTAGTGCTCACTCGGGAATGTCCCTCTACAGGAGGCACGGTCAATCATTGTCAAAAAATAGTCTGGGGGCGATTTTCCACCACTCTGGGTGCTTTTTTCATTCATGTTCTGACTCTTCCTCATGCTTCGCCCAAGCTCCGCATGCAGGGGGACACGCCCGACCTGAGGGTGGTGTCCGCTCAATCTGCTCCCTCCAGAGAGGAAACACTGGGGGGCGGACAGAACCCCCCAACAGTGACACGTCGATTAGTGCATTGTCCGTTGTCGGCTCTCGAGAGGGCGCCGCGGCTGTTCTTTGCCAGGCTTGCGCCCGCCAGGTTTGGGCCTCAGGTCGTTCTCACTAAACCACGTTTTCCTAAAGGGAGGTCTGTCCAGCCCCGAAAAAACACCCCCCGTGGCGAGGTCCTCTGGAGAGGACAAACCACCCGCCAGAGAGGAAACACCATCCCCTCCAGAGAGGAAAAAACATCCCCTGAGGGTGGTGTCCGCTCGATCTGCTCCCTCCAGAGAGGAAAAAACCAGCCCCCTCCAGAGAGGAAAAACCATCCCCCCCGCGGCGGCTCTTATTTTCCAGGCTTGCGCCCGCCAGGTTTGGGCCTCAGGTCGTTCTCACTAAACCACGATTTACTAAAGGGAGGTCTGTCCATCCCCGAAAACCCTCCCCCCCCGTGGCGAGGTCCTCCGGAGAGGACAAACCACCCTCTATGAGAGGAAGATCCCCCCCCCCTCCAGAGAGGACAAGACCATCATCCCCCGAGGGTGGTGTCCGCTCTATATATCTGCTCCCTCCAGAGAGGAAAAACCCAGCTCCCTCCAGAGAGGACCCCCCCCCGCGGCGAGGTCCTCTGGAACCCGCGGGACCTCCTGGGTGCGGGCGGGCACCCCGAGCCAGGCCCCGCCGCGCGCGCGCCTCCGCGGCGGACCGGCCGCCCTGCCGCGGCGCTCTGCCGCGGGGTCGCCTCGGGGGGGAGCGGTCGGCGCCAGGGGCAAGTCGGCTCTCTGCCCTGCTCGCCCTCCCTGGGAGGCCCTCGTCGCCTCCCACCCTCCCTCTCTCGCCCTCCCTCCTCCTCCCCCATCCTGCTCCTCCTCCTCCTCCTCCCTCTCCTGCTCCTCCTCCCCCTCCTGCTCCCTCTCCTGCTCCTCCTCCTCGTGCTCCTCCTCTTCCTCCTCCTCCTCCTCCTCCTCCTCCTCCTCCTCCTCCTCCTCCCGAAACCCTCGGTCGGTCGGGGGGGGGGCGGCATCGAAGCTTCGAGGTTCGAGGTCCGAGGTTTCCGGACGTGTTCGTCGGCTCCCGTGTGCCGTCTCCAGCGGCTGCGCCTCGCCGAGGGGCGTCGGGGGCTGCCCGGATCGTCCCGAACGGCCGCCCGAGGCCCGAGGTGTGACCCAGAGGCCACCAGTGGAGCAGGAGCGGAAGACCGACGTACACGACGTGCACGCACATGAAGCCACGTTTGCTGCGAGAGCGCGCCTGGGGGCCGTGTTCATGCAGGTGGTTTGGCGCGTAAGACGGCGATGGCGGTCTCATCGAGCAGAGGTATGCGCGGATTCCGTGGATCAGTGCTGGACCCTCCTGGCGGCGCCTCCAACGCCGTCCGTGGCCCGCCCCGCGCGCCAGGGAGGGGGAGACCCACTGCACATCCAAGAGATTGGTCCTCCAACCACCAGTGATGTTTATGCAGTTGTTTCGCCTTCTATCTCATCAGGAGCCCGGGGCAAGGTGTGCCAATCTCTAAAGTGAAGACGCTGCTTCAGCTCCTCGAGTGCGCCAGCCTGCGGTGCAATTCGCGCACGAGGGGGGGGGGCGGGTCAGACGCTCTTTCGGCTCACAGGACGGAGGGATTCCCTGCGGCCAGGAGCGCCCCGACGCAAAGCGTCTGGGCTTCTGCAAACAGACGAGCGGGGCCGATGTCTTGGGACCAGCCAGCGGACACGAAGAGAAAAAAGGGCCGAGGAGGATCGAGGAGAAGCGAGGTTCGAGGATCGAGGAGGGCCCCCTTCCCCAGGTCTGCCCGCGCCACGAGGCACAGGAAGGCGGGAGGTCTCGGCAGCCGTGTTCGGCCTCGGGGGGCCCGGCGCCGGGCCCAGAGGCCGCAGATAATGACATCCAGGAAGCCTTGGCATCGCTCGGGCGTGTGCGTTTGTCCTTCAGCGAGGACCCTCGAGGAGCATCATCGAGCACTTGGCGAAACATGCACGCACGAAAACGAAGCAAACACAGGGCATGGACGTCCGAGCGATGGCGAGGAAGAAGGAAGAAATTTGTCCTCCTGGGGAGAGGTCTCCGACTTCGGAGGACCGCGCACGGAACAACTCGGGATACCAGATGTCTGGGTTGACGTCTGCGGCGTCTGCGGGAGTCCCTCGCTGGCGGGGGAGGTCCTCGGGGCGGTCCGTGTCCCGGAGGACTCGGCGACCCATGTGGTGGCGACCCCCCTTGGCATTGCCCGGGGCGGCTCCCGAAAGACTTCTCGGGCGGGGATTTCCCAGAGCGCCAGCATCGTCGAGCGCGAGTCTTCACGTGACACCTCGCCGGAGTGTCAGGAAGAGGCGGGGAGGGGCAAGCCAGGCCCGCTGGTGCCGCGTCCGACGTCCGACCCCTCCATCGCCCATCCCTTCCCGTTGCGCTGACTTCTCCTCCGTCCGCAGATGGGCGCCCTTGCGGACCTGGATCCCCCCAGTGAGGACCCAGATCTCCCAAGTGACCCCAGACCCCTAGATCGAAGTCGGGCCTGTCCCCCTACAGGGCGAATCTGTAAGAATGGTCTCGGGACGATGTGTTTAGTATTGGTTTGGCCATTTGGGAACATGTTTTGACCGTTTGTAAACTTGTTCGTCCAACATCCCCCTTGTAGGGTGACGCGCCCGACCCAACCTCAGATTCCTTAGATCCGCGCTGGGCACCTCCCTGGCGCGCGGAGCGCGCGCCAGGGGCGTCGGAGACGACGCCAGGGGGTGGCTGTGCCGATCCATAATCTTGGTATCGCTCGGACGTTTGCACTTCTTCTCGGCGGGGATTATCAAGGAGCATCCTGAATCATCCTGCGAACAAGCCGCGCACGAAACCGGACAAAAACACAGGGAATGGACTTCCGAGCGATGGCCAGAAACAGAAATTTCCGTGAGGACCGCCGCCGTGAGGACTTCCGAAAGTTTACGCGGGTGCAGTTTTCTTTCTTCCAGCCTTCTTCCTCCCCCCCCCTCCCACTCGCGGGCCCCAATCCTACCCCTCCCCATTCTCCCGCATCCTCTCCCACAGCTGTTTCGGCCCAGGCCGACGAAGCGAGGCGACGCGAGCAGGGGCGTTCGGTCGTCCCGCTTCTTCCCGTTCTGGCAGGGCAGGCCGAGCGATCGCCACACTTGAGGTTCGCGCTCTGGGGGGGAAGGAGCGAGCAATGGGTGGTGGAATGAGGTGGGCAGGGTGAGTGTTCGGGCAAGCGGATGAGATGGTGCATGGGAAGATGAGGAGGAGGCGAAGATCCGGGAGTGGGGAGGATGCGGGAAGGAGGAGCAGGAGGACACGATGGGAAGAGGCGGGGAGGACTAATAGGAGGAGGAACATGAGGAGGAGGAGGAGAAGGAGAATGAGGAGGAGGAGGACCAATGCAAACCCTGGCCTCATCAACGATTTTGTATTGAGCCCTCCATCTAAGTTCCCTCTTCATTGGTTCGTGCACGGATTCATTCTCACTGAGTGAGGTGCCCCAGTGGAAGACAACCGTCCGAGAAGATTGAATTGTTCCAGGCCTTGCGTCTTGACGGTCTTACATTGTGCCAGAACGCCACCCTTGGGACTTCAACATGACAGTCCGATTTCGTGCCAAAGCGCCGTTTCTTGGACGTCACCCATAAGAACCCGTGGAATTGCTGTAGGCTCCTCTTAAGACGAATGTGCGCGGCGCTAAGGCGAGAGACGCAGTCTGAAAAGAGACTGCCCTCCATCCGTGAAGCTCCTGAAAGCTTTTAAGACGAATGCGCGCAGCGCAAAGGCGAGCGCCACATGTTGAAAAGGACGTGTCATCCATCCTCGAAGCTCGTGCACATGTTTAAGACGAGTGTGCGCGGCGCTCAAGCAAGAGCCACATTCCAACAACGGCCCGCCCTCGTGAACTTGTTGCAGGTTTCGAGCGCAAGGGTTACAATGGCAATGGCGAGGAAGGCTCAAGCAAACCACCCCGTCCTCCCTCCGATTCTCCCGGATGCGACAGGGTGGAGTGATTTTTACGGAGAAAGGGAAAGGAGGAGAAGAAGGAGGAAATGGGGAGGAGGAGGAGGAAGAGGAGGAGGAGAAGGAGGACAAGCAGGAGGCCGAGGGAGGAGGATGGTGTCGAGAATGGGGAGGGTGGAGGATTGGAGGAAGTACGATGCGGCGGAGAAAGGGGAGGGAGGGAGGGAAAGGTGATGCACTGGAGGAGGGGGATGAGGAGACGTAGAACATATGAGGGACGGATCAAGATACCGAGGAGTGATGATAGTGTTGCCGATGTTGCTGATAAGGCTGATGATGATGATATTGATGAAGCTGATGCTGATGCTGATGAGGATGAGGATGAGGATGCGGATGGGATGATGATGATGATGATGTTGCTGATGATGATGATGATGATGATGATGCTGATGAGGATGATGAGGATGATGATGATGAATATGATGATGACAAGGAAGATGCTGATGCTGACGATGAGGACGATTATTCTGCTGACGATGATATTGGTGGTGATGATGATGACGATGCTCATGATGACGATGATGCTGATATCGGTGATGACGGTTATGCTGATGATGGTGGTGATGGTGATGGTCATGCTCATCTTGTTCGTGATCATGACGATCATCAGGATACCGATGCAGATGGTTATGACGATGATGGCGATGATGCTGATGATGTTGCTGATGGTGATGGTGATACTGATATAGGCGATGCTGAATTTGATGGTGGCGATGGCGATGCTGCTGATGATGATGATGATGATGTTGGCGGTGGTGACGGTCATGATGATGCTGATCGTTATTATGATCATGCTGATGTTGGGGATCGTGAGTATCTGATGGCGCTGACGCCGCCGACGATGATGGCGGTGATGCTGATAATGATGGCGATGCTGATGACGACTGTGATGATGCTGGTGCTGATGCGGGTGCTGCTGCGGATGCTAATGATGTTGAGGATGATGCTGATGCTTATGCTGGTGATGATGCGTATGGTAATGATGACGACGACGATGATGGTGATGCGTTTGCTGGTGATGATGACGATGGATATGATATTGTTGTTGCTGGCGATGCTGATTCTGATGCTGACTATGCTGTTGATGATGATGGTGGTGATGATGATGACGATGATGCTGATAGAGGCAGAGGAGGGGAAGGAGGAGGAGGAGGTGGTGAGGGAGTGGGGAGGGAGTGGGGAGGATAAACATGTTGTGAAGGAGCAGGACGGGTGATGGAGGAGGAAGAGCATAGTGCTGTTGGAGGAGGGGGAAGAGGATGAGGAAAGAGGAGGAAGAGGAGGAGGAGGAGGAGGAGGAGGAGGAGGAGGAGGAGAAGGTGGAGAAGGAGGATAATAAGGAGTGGAGGGGGAGTGGCGGAGGAGGGGTAGGAGGAGGGGTAGGAGGAGGGAGAGGTGGAAAAGAAGGAGTATTTTGAGGAGGAGATGGAGGAGAAGTAGGAAGTACGATTGAGGTAGTGGGTATCAGGATTATCAGCAGAAGGAGGACGAGGAGGACGACGAGGAGGAGGGGGAAGCCAGATCTCCACTGTCGCCGCGGTTTGGGCTGCCCCGCCCTTCCAAGCCGCAGAGCAGCGGCGCCCAGCATGGCACCGAAGAAGGCCAGCCGGGCGGAAGCGGCCGCGGGGGCGTCCTTCTCGTCCCCCCCCTCCCTCCCCCCCCTCCTCTCTCGCCCTCCTCCCCTTCCCCCCTCTCCACCTCCCCCTCTCCTCCCCCTCCCCCCTCGTTCCCTCCCTCGCCCCTCCTGCCCTCGTTCTCCTGCTCCTCCTCCTCTTCCCCTCACCCCCATCCCCCCTCATCCCCATCTTTCCTCTTCCATCATCCTCCCCTCCAACGCCCCCCTCCTCGAGGAGAGAGAAGGAGGGAGGGTGAAGAGGAGGAGGAAGAGGCGGAGCAGGAAGGAGTTGGATGAGGAGGTAGAGGAGGAGGAGGAGGAGAAGATGGAGGAGGATGAGAAGATGAAGGAGGAGGTGGCACCGTGGAGGAAGAGATAGAGGAGGACAAGATCGAGGGGGAGGGGGTAGAGGAGGAGGAGGAGGAGGAGGAGGAGGAGGAGGAGAAGGAGGAGGAGGAGGAGGAGGAGGAGGAGGAGGAGGCGAGGAGGAGGAGGAGAAGGAGGAGGGATGTAGTTTCCTAGTGCCTCTGCGGAGCCGGGGCGCTCATCGGGTCCCAGGGCACGCCGGGGGCATGCTCAGGGACGCCTCCGCGCGGGATGTCCGCTCCGATACACAGCGTGTGCGCGGAGATCGCTGCGCCTTGCAGCCCAGATCGGAGAGGCATCCTCCAGCGAGGCAGGGGCAAGAGAAGGGCCGTGAAGGGGCCCTTTGGTCCCCTTTGGGAGCCAGCAGGGGGGGCCCGAAAAGGGCCCTTGTCTTTACCCCCCGTGTAGGCCACCCCCCATTACCACCCGCCCGAAAGGGGTGGCGCGGGTGCGTGCGAAGCTGACTACGTCTCGGGCAGTGCGGAGCGCGACGTTTGGCAGCCCGGCTAGTTCCCCTGGGCAGCGGCGTCACGTTTTGCGGAACCCCTGTCAGGAGTTGCGATGCTATATTTCTCATCCCTCCTCATCCTTCCGCCCCTTCTGCCCCGTCCTTCCTCCAGATGTCCGCAGCGAAATAATTATCCCGACCCTCGTCCGGGGGAGACACTGGCAGGTTACGCGCAGTTGTTTTCGAGGCGCGCGCGCCATTGGCCCAAACATTGGCGCACCCCGTGTGGGGAAGGGACAAATCGCCAAACTCATGGCTTGTTGGCGTGGAAATGGGGCTCGCCATTCTGCTGGGGCGCGCGGAGCAGAAACGTCAGCGCCTGGGCGCGATTGCGGGAATGGCGGGCGTTGTGGAACGAGTTCGGGGGTAACTATTTGCACGTTGTTCCCCAAACAGCTTGCTGAACGGGGTGCTGTTGTGATAGAAGCTAACTCCGGCCGAGGGAAAGGGGAGCAAAGACATCCTCACAAAAATCTACTGGTCCGGGCCGTTTCGCTTGAGACATCCTCACAACTCTCATTTCTGAGTTGGCCGGGATTGGCCGTTTCGCCTGAGACATCCTCGAAAAGTTGCGCTCCAGGACGCCGCGCGAGAGGTGGTCCGGGCCGTTTCGCTTGAGACATCCTCCAAACTCTGGGCCCCGAGGTGCAGCGCAAGAGGTGGTTCGGCCCGTTTCGCTTGAGACATCCTCGCAACTCCGGGCTCCCAGATGACGCTTGCGAGGTGGTCTGGCCCGTTTCGCTTGAGACATCCTCGAAACCCTGAGCCCCGAGATGCCGTGCGAGAGGTGGTCCGGCTCGTTTCGCCTGAGACATCCTCGCAACTCTGGGCTCCGAGATGCCGCTTGCGAGGTGGTCCGGCCCGTTTCGCCTTAGACATCCTCGCAATTTTGGGCTCCGAGATGCCGCTTGCGAGGTGGTCCAGCCTGTTTCGCCTGAGACATCCTCGCAACTCTGGGCTCCGAAATGCCGCTTGCGAGGTGGTCCGGCCCGTTTCGCCGGAGACATCTTTGCAACTCTTGGCCCCGAGGTGCAGCGCAAGGTGGTCCGGCTCGTTTCGCCTGAGACATCCTCGCACCCTGAGCCCCGAGATGCCGTGCGAGAGGTGGTCCGGCCCGTTTCGCCTGAGACATCTTTGCAACTCTGAGCCCCGAGGTGCAGCGCAAGAGGTGGTCTGGCCCGTTTCGCTTGAGACACCCTCGCAACTCTGGGCTCCGAGATGCCGCTTGCGAGGTGGTCTGGCCCGTTTCGCCTTAGACATCCTCGCAACTCTGGGCTCCGAGGTGCAGCACAAGAGGTGGTCCGGCCCGTTTCGCCTGAGACATCCTCGCAACTCTGGGCTCCGGGATGCCGCTTGCGAGGTGGTCTGGCCCGTTTCGCCTTAGACATCCTCGCAACTCTGGGCTCCGAGGTGCAGCACAAGAGGTGGTCCGGCCCGTTTCGCCTGAGACATTCTCGCAACTCTGAGCTCCCAGATGCCGCGCAAGAGGTGGTCGAGCCTGGGGGCCCAGAAGACTACATGTTAGATATCCCCCTCTGGAACCCTGGGAGCCCCAGGAGGCCCCAGAGAGCTTCAGGAGGCGGCAGGACGCCCAGGACAGGCCCCAGGGGCCCCCAGGAGATTCCCAGGAGGCTCCCAGGAGGCCCCAGGAGGCCTCTTATCAGAACGTGTCAAGTTCATACACACTCGGTGTCGATTCGCTGATTTTTCCTGCTCTTGCGCCCCCCCCCCCCCCATTTCGGGGGGCCATGTTAGATATCCCCCCCTGGGAGCCCCAAGAAGCTTCAGGAAGCCCCAGGTAGGGTCCAGGAGGAAGCTTCAGGAGGTCCCCAGGATGCCCTAGGAGGCCCCAGGAGGCCCCCGCAACTCGGAGCTCTGAGACGCCGCGCTCGAGATGGTCCGGCCCGTTTCGCCTGAGACTTCCTCGCAGCACGTTTCGCCCGAGACATCGTCGCAACGCTGGGGTCCTAGATGCCGCGCGCGAGGTAGTCCAGCCTGTTACGCTGGAGACATCCTCGCAACTCTGGGCTCCGAGATGCCCTGCGCGAGGTGGTCCGGCCCGTCTCGCCGAAGACATCCTTGCAACTCTGAGCTCTGAGATGCCGTGCGCAAGGTGGTCCGGCCCGTTTCGCACAAGACATTCTCGCACCTCTGAGCTCCCAGATGCCGCGCAAGAGATGGTCCAGCCTGGGGGCCCAGAAGGCCACATGATACATAAATAAATATAAACATAAACATATATATATATATATATATGTGTATACATATATATATATATATATGTATATATATCCCCCTCTGGGACCCTGGGAAGGCCCCAGGGGTCCCCAGGAGATTCCCAGGAGGCTCCCAGGAGGTCCCAGGAGGCTCCTTATCAGAACGTGTCAAGTCAATACACATCCGGTGTCGATTCTCTGATTTTTCCTGCTCTTGTGCCCCCCCCCCCTTTTGTAGGGCCCCGACGGCCACATGTTAGATATCCCCCCCTGGGAGCCCCAAGAGGCTTCAGGAAGCCCCAGGGGGGTCCAGGAGGCCACAGGAGGCCCAGGAGGAAGCCCCAGGAGGTCCCCAGGAGACCCCAGGAGGCCTCAGGAGGCCCCTGCAACCTGGAACTCTGAGACGCCGCGCTCGAGGTGGTCTGGCCCGTTTCGCCTGAGACTTCCTCGCAGCAAGCTTCGCCCGAGACATCGTCGCAACTCTAGGGTCCGAGATGCCGCGCGCGAGGTGGTCCAGCCTGTTACGCTGGAGACATCCTCGCAACTCTGGGCTCCGAGATGCCCTGCGCGAGGTGGTCCGGCCCATCTCGCCTGAGACATCAACGCAACTCTGAGCCCCGAGATGCTGCCCAAGAGGTGGTCTGGCCCGTTTCACTTGAGACATCTCGCGCTTTTGCATTCCGAGATGCCGCGCGAGAGGTGGTCTGGCCCGTTTCGTCTGAGACGTCCTCGAAACTCTGGGCTCTGAGATGCCGCGCGCGAGGTGGTCTGGCCCGTTTCGATCCGTTTCGCCTGAGACATTCTCGAAACTCTGAGCTCTGAGCTGCCGCGCAAGAGGTGGTCCAGCCCATTTTGCCTGAGACATTTTCGCAACTCTGACCTCGGAGATGCCGCGCGCGACGTGGTCCAGCCCGTTTCGCCTGAGACATCCTCGCAGCTATGAGCTCTGAGATGCCCTGCGCGGGGTGATCTGGCCCGTCTCGCCTGAGACATCCTCGCAACTCTGAGCTCCGAGATGTCGTGCGCAAGGTGGTCCGGCCCGTTTCGTACAAGACATCCTCGCAATTCTGGGCTCCGAGGTGCAGCGCAAGAGGTGGTCCAGCCTGGGGGCCCAGAAGACTACATGTTACATGTTACATATCCCACCTGGGACCCTGGGAGCCCCAGGAGGCCCCAGAAAGCTTCAGGAGGCCGCAGGACGCCCAGGACAGGCCCCAGGGGTCCCCAGGAGATTCCCAGGAGGCTCCCAGAAGGCCCCAGGAGGCCCCTTATCAGAACGTGCCAAGTTAATACACATCCGGTGTCGATTCGTTGATGCTTCCTGCTCTTGTGGCCCCTCATTTTGGGGGGCCCCGACGGCCACATGTTACTGTATTAGATATCCCCCCCTGGGAACCCCAAGAGGCTTCAGGAAGCCCCAGGTGGGGTCCAGGAGGCCACAGGATGAGAGGACACCGAGTCAGGAACTGCCAGGGGGCCTTCACACGACGGCAACCCCAGAGCCCACTCGAAATGATCAAGCGGACCCAGGCCGCAGAGCACAGAACTCTGCAGAAAACTATGCACACAATCCCTCACTCCAGCTACGCCTGGATTCGCGGGATATTCGCAGAGAAACTCGCGCGCGCCAGTTTGACCGATCAAATTGCGGTCGCCCTGGGCGCATGCTTCAAATGCGCCAGGCTCGCCGTCAAAATGGGCAGAGTCTGAGGCCGAGCTGGACGGGCTTACATCGCGAAAAGAAGCAGCTCACTTCTTCTTCCAGCTTCCGTGCTGGCGCCCGTGCTGTCCCCAGGAGGCCCCAGGAGGCCCCTGCAACTCGGAGCTCTGAGACGCCGCGCTCGAGGTGGTCCGGCCTGTTTCGCCTGAGACTTCCTCGCAGCACGTTTCGCCCGAGACATCGTCGCAACTCTGGGGTTCTAGATGACGCGCGCGAGGTGGTCCAGCCCGTTACGCTGGAGACATCCTCGCACTTCTCGGCTCCGAGATGCCGTTCGAGGTGAAGAGGAGGTGGAGGAGGAGGAGGAGGTGGAGGAGGAGGAGGAGGAGGAGGAGGAGGCATGTTCTAACATGCCATGCCAGCCCGCACTGGACGGGCACGCAATCGACCTTGGAAACCGCAGTGGGTGTAGAAACCCTGTTTGGAGATGCTGCACTCTGGCTACACTATTCTTTCCTTTGTTTTGCCTCGCCAGAGGGGCCCCGGGGGCGCGCAGGGGCCCGGCGTGTCTCGACGCGGGGGCGTTCACTGTCCCCCTGGTGGGCCAGGGCTTTGATGGCTTTGGGGGTAGCTTGTTTAGTTCCCGCGGGCCCGAACAAGTTATCCCGACATCGTTTGGGGCCGATCCGCTGGGAGATCGTTCGGGTGTTTGAAAGGCCTCCATTTCGGTGCCTCTCCCCTGGAAGGCTTCCGCGCGGGCGGATCCCCCCGTACTTGTGCGCTCTTAATATTCGTTAGTCGGTTGTCTGGTGACAGTCTAGAACCAGGCTGAAGAGCTCTTTGGCCTCATTTGTCTGTCAGGTGCTTGCAACGCGCGCGCCAATGCATTGGCCCTTGGGCGAAGCGGGGTCGAACTGCCAGCCGTCGGCTGGAATGTCTATGGAGCGGCCTTTTCGCCGTAGCGAAAACCAACCTTATCCGCGGCGGTCGGCAAGAACTCTGGCCAAGGGTAGGCGTAACCATTGCCCCCCCCCCCACAGACACTGTGACTGAATACGGCATTGATCCCGTTCCTCCTTGCTGGCCTTCCTCCTGCCCGTTCTCGACAAGTGCGCCAGCCTCTGCTTTCTCCCGCGAGCGCCCCCGGTGCGAGCGGGGTGGCCTGAACACGGCCCGTCTTCGGATCGCGCCGTGCGGGCAGAACGGAAACGCCACCCCCTGGATGCCGAGGCGGGGAGTCGTCCTTCACCGCCGCGCGGTGGATCGATCTCCGAGGGTCCCGGCACGCGGTGGATGTGGATACACGCGGCGCCCCCGGGGCCAACAGATATGCACATGCGCCGCCCGGCGGGGTCCCAGGACGTCGCCTCCACAGGTGATGATGATGACGCTGCTGATGTTGAGGAAGATGGTGCTGATGATTGGTAGTGCGGGTGATGATCGGGAGGACGATGATGATGACAAGGATGATGACATTGCTGCTGGTGACGACGATGATGATGGTGATGCTGCTGATGATGGTGATGAGGATGAGGATGATGATGCTGATGATGGTGATGATGATGCTGATACAGATGCTGATGATGCTGGTGATGCTGATCCTGATGATGATCCTGATGATGATGCTGATGATGACGCTATTGCTGCTGGTGATGATGACGACGACGACGATGATGATGATGATGATGATGATCATGATCATGATCATGATGGTGATGATGGTGATGATGATGGTGATGATGATGATGATGGTGATGTTGATGTTGATGATGATGATGATGATGATGATGATGATGATGATGATGATGATGATGATGATGATGGTGGTGGTGTAGCGCACTCTACTGGGACCTGATGCCAACCGTTACCAGCGGATATGGTTCGACGCACACATCGCCGGGACTGCGCGGCCCCTCACGCCAAAGGTCTGTGCCCGAATCCTCGCTGTCCTTGGCATCGCTGGGACGTGTGCGTTTCTTCCTCGGCGAGGACCATCGAGGAGCATCCTTGACCATTTGGCGAAAAAACCACGCACGAAACCGAAAAAAACACAGGGAATGGACGTCCAAGCGATGGCGAGTGTCCCCACCCCTCCCCGGTCGACGCCCCTCCCGGGAACAGGGCAGCAAGCGCGCCGCCGCGGCTGCCGGCGCGGCGGGCCGCCCGGGCAAGGTGGCGAAGCTTTCTCCTTGGGAGGATCCGACGGGCAGGGCACGGTCGGGGGTGGACAGAACCCCCAACAGTGACACGTCGATTAGTGAATTGTCCGTTTTCGGTTTTCGTGAGGGCGCCGTGGCCGTTATTTTCCAGGCTTGCGCCCGCCAGGTTTGGGCCCGAAGTCGTTTTCACTCAACCACGTTTTACTAAAGGGAGGTCTGTCCATCCCCGAGATGCAGTCGGACCGAAGTAGGATCGGGCCGAGCGAAAGGGGGTGATTGGGAAAGGGGGGGGTACGAAATCTGCTGCATGCAGCTGGTTTCGGCCCCACCGAGGGGCCCCTTCCTCGATGCATGGCCGCCTCCGGCGCCGGGAGGCGCTGGGATAATCAGCCACGTGAGCTGAGTTTCACCCCCCCCCCCCTTGGCTATCCCCCCCCTTTCGCCCAGCCCGATAGGAGATCGAGGTCGGTTCAGGAAGGGTACCCTAATGCTCTCCGTGCTTGCTGGGTGTTCTCGTGCACCCTGGGGAGGGTACCTGAGGACGTTCATGGTGGTTTGTCCGGCGTATGGCCTCGTGTTCTCGAGCGAGGGGTGCTCTTCTCCCCCAGGTTCAGCCTTAGTTGCGGTCCCGAGTTTTTGGATCGCGTGTCGCTCCGCCGGTTCTGGCACACCGCGTTTCGGCGCGACCCGCCATCCGCTTCCCGCAACGCAGCGCACAAGCCATACGCCGTCCGGCGCGTGGGCGGGAAAACAAGCTCAGCACAGCCTGTACTGTAAGGGAGAGGAGGAGGAAGAGGAGGAAGAGGAGGAGACAGAAATCAAATTATCCCAGTGCGACCCTACCTAGGAGTTGGAGCATTTAGGAAAGCAACATCTACATCTACACCGACAGCTACATCTTCATCTACATAATGCTTAGCTTAGCTAAGCTTAGCTTAGGGTTTAGCTAAGCGTAGCTAAGCTTAGCTTAGCTTAGCCATCCGCTTCCCAGTCTCAAGTCTCCAGGCCTGCCCGCCCCGAGCCTTCCTCGGCCCCGCGCCCCGCGGAGCGGAGCGACATGCCATACATTCGCCTCAGGCCTGGCGTGTCGCCGTGGCCGCCGCCGCGAGCGTGATTCCTGAGTGACGAGGGCGCGGCGTCCGAATAAATTATGAGGAAGTCCCACGCGAGAAAGCGATCCCCTCAGAATTTCAGAGCGCGACTTCTCAATAACTTGTGATGACGTGCGAGGCGGGAGCCATTCTTGTTGTTGTGGTTGTTGTTGTAGTTCGGAACCTTACAACTTTGGTGACACCAAGCTTTCCCTGATAACAAACGGGGTGCGAGCCCTGGATGGGGGCACAGAAATAGGAAAAGTACAATGGTTTCCAGAGGGGGACCAACAATAATTATTAATTGGGAAGCGATAAGTCAAAAGCATTAATATCAACAGCGCAACAATTTTCCGCACCGTGGAACCTCACGTAAGCCAATGACAGTGACTGACCGGTCGGCCCCTTAGGCCTGGCGCCATGGCGGACCTTTCAACATCAAGTCGCTGGCGTACTGTTCGAGGGCCGGCCCCAGCCGACAGACCGCGCCCGTCCTGCCTGGCCCGCCGTGCTATCAAGTTCGTAGTTGTAGGCGCCGGCTGGCGTCAGGGTCGCTCCTTAGATCTAGGCGCTGGCGAACTGTTCAAGGGCTGGCCCTAGCCGACAGACCGCGCCCGTCCTGCTTGGCCCGTCCTGGGCACAGCTCGGGCCAGGGCCCCTCTCAATCTATCGAGTCCACTTTTGCGACAGAACTGCTACATCACAAAATCTCACGGCCAGAGCCCTGTGGACCCCACCTTCCTATGGTTTCGCGCCGGATGGATCTGTGATGCTCCAAGGGTCCGAATCCAAGCGATCTCGCCCAGTGCAAGGAAAAGTGCAACGCCAAGGTCAGGGATCTTTAGGCGGTGTCATAGGACAAATATACATCCTTCCCAACGCGTTTGGGCACGCTCTCACAGCGTTCTAGAGCGTTATGAGAAGACCGCGGCGCCCGATGCATCCTCCAGAACCTGCGGATCTCAGAGTCTCGATTTCGGGCGTTACGTAACTGGTGGGGCGATGAATCTGGGGCGAAGACAGGTGCACATGTTGTTCCCTAAAGGGGGACCTAGGGGGGGCCCCCCTGGGGCCCAAACGGGGTACGAAAGGTGCACGTCCCCCATCCCCCCCAGGAAATCGCCTCCTCCCCCCCCCCCCCCCAGCGATCAACCCCCCATCGATTGATCCCTGCCCGATGGTGTCCCTGTCCTGGCTTCGCCCTGGACCTCGAGAGCTGCCCCATGAGGAGCAGCTGCAGGCCGTCGCGCGGGGCCTGGCGGCCGCCGCGCTGCCCGAGGGCTGCCGCGCCATGCTGCTGGCGGTGCTGCCCGCGAGCCTGGGCGCGCCGGCGGACGCACGGCACGCCGTGCAGGCCCGCGTCGTCGACATGGTGGGGGAGGCCCTGGCGGCGGCGCTCGCGGGCAAGGACGGGCGGCGCGCAGGGGGAGCCGTGTCCGGCCCGGCAGTGCGGGCAGGCCCGAGGCCAGCTGGGCTCGGGTTCAGGCTTTTGTGGGGCCCTCGGCGGCCTCCGATCGGGTGCCGCTCTCGGGCCCGGGGGGGCAGGGAGAGACGGATGCGGGGTGAACAACATGCGCCCGATGGCTTGGCGTCGCTCGGACGTGTGCATTTTTCCTTCGGCGAGGGCCATCGAGGAGCATCCTTGATCACTTCGCGAAAGAACCACGCACGAAACCGAAAAAAACACAGGAAATGGACGTCCGAGCGATGGCCAGATGGGCCCCGGGAGCAGTGCGAGGACCGATTTTGAGCGGATGTGTGTTCATACCGCCTCCCGAGAGAGTGTCTCGTGGCCCAGCCAGTTCAGATCCAGGGGCCGCCTCCAAGGCGCACGCCATCCCTGAGATCTCAAGCAGTGGCGAGGCGCCCTGGTTTGCCTCCAGGCCCACCACAGGGTGCTCGAAGAACCGCTTGCGATTTGCACGAAGCGTCGTTTGAACACGTCTGGCTGATGCCGACTTGCTTCAATGCATCGGCTGTGTGCTCCAAGAACACTGCTATTGTTACTGCAGCATTGGTTCGCTCCACGAGCATTCCGTGGCAGGACCAGAGGAGTGCTCGCACGGCCGGCCCCTGCTCAAGAGATCCGGGCGTTGTCATCCCCTCGCGCCGGGCGTGCTCGCCCGTCGCCGTGCCCCGGGGCCGGCACAGATCGCAGAGCCGCGGCACGAGCTGGGGTCTCGGGCTGCGGTCGACGTCGACGCTGTCGACCTCGACGACGACGCCGACGACGACGCCGCCGACGCCGACGACGACGACGACGACGACGGCGAGGACGATGACGACGACGTCGACGCGGGGGCACTTCTGCTCGGCGACGCGCAGATCGCCGGCGCCGACGGCGACGGCGACGGAGACGTCGGCGCTGGGGGGCGCTGCCGCTCGGTTTGCGCGCAGGTCGACGCCGACGACGCCGGCGCTGATGTTTCGTGATACACCTTAGGCGATGCTTAAGAAAACCTAAGTTTTCGGCCAGAGTCTCGATTATTCTTAACGTTTCCATGTAAATCTTCAGATTTGAATGGAAACGTTGGGTTGTTATTCAACGTCTGAGACTATGAATTTCTGAACCCATGATTTCTTAAGCATTTCGCGTGGTGTATTTCATCTTTCTGCAGCGTCGGACCTCAGGGAGTGCTGGGTGTGGCGCGAGGGGGGGCGGCCTTCGGGGGAGGCTGTGGGGCTTCTGCGTTATGCGCCAGGGGCACGCCAACATGTAAGGAGCCGGCCTGCCAATCTGTAGCCCACGATAGTTTCTCACGCACGATGTCGAGCAGTGGCGAAGCGTCCCGGCTTGGCAATAGGCCCGCCAAATAATCTTCAAACAACTTTTCATGGTCTGCACGAAACGTTCTTGGAACATTTTTGCCGAGACGGCCTGGTGTTAACACATCGGGCTTGCGTTCTCAGAACACCGTTTTTGCTCTTAGAACTTGTTTGGGTTCTGAGAGCATTTCGTGGCAGGCCTACCGGAGTGCGGGGACGGTCGGCCCGTGCCCAACGATGGGCCCGCCGAGTGTCGTGCCGCAGGCGCGTGCTGTGAGGCCAGGGGATAGAATCTGGCAAGGCCCGTGCGGGCGTCCCAGACGGCTCCCGGGATGCCGGGAGGAGGCCCTCCCGGGAGGCCCTTGGCTTCCTAAAGCACCCGCTCTCTCCTACGGCAGGTTCGTGTCGTGCCGGCGCGGCAGGGGCCTCGACGCGGGCGTCCAAGGTGAACCGCCGCCAGTGGCCCAGAAGCGGGCAGTGCCGAACGATCGGGCCATCGAAACGCCGCCGATCCCTCCAGGGCCGAACGATCCGCGAGGTGTCAGAAGCGAACGCCGGGGTCCTCACGACGCGAATCCGAGGCAGAAGGTGCGGGACGGGAAAATGACCACAGCCACTGCTTCTTGCTTGCGCCGCCTTCCAGCCGGCCGAACAAGAAGCAGTGGTTGTGGTCATTTCCCGGGTGCCAAGCTTGACGAGAATGCCACAACCACTGCTTTGTTTCTGCTGGCTGGAAGGCGGCAACCAAAGAAAAGCAGTAGCTGTGGTCGTTTTCACGTCCCGCAGAAGGGGTGCCCCTATCGCCCCCGCCGCCGAGAGGACGCGGCCGCGTCGAAGGCCGCCGAGGACGCGGCAGCGGCGGGCCGCCGCCGGGCCGAGCTGCAGGCGGCGCAGGCGGCGTGCGAGGGCGCCCGCGAGGACAGGGCCAAGGCCCAGCATCGTTCGTTCCCACTGGGCCACGTAGGAGGAGGAGGAGGAGGAGGAGGAGGAGGAGGAGGAGGAGGAGGAGGAGGAGGAGAAGGAGAAGGAGGAGGAGGGGGGGAGGAGGATGGGGAGAGGAGGGGGAGGAGGAGGGGAGGAGGAGGAGGAGGGAGGAGGAGGAGGTGTCTCAGCCCCAGCTGTCCGCCCTCCTAGCTGGCGATAGGCCACGCGACTGCCGAAGGGCCAGGCCCATCGGAGTGAGGGGGGCCGAGCAATCTTGCACCAGCCTTGGGTGCGCGGGTGAAGCGGGAGCCCGCGGCTCTGATTATGCTTGTTGGTCGTTGGTCGAGTTCACTTTTCTGAGTACACATGTACACATCTAAGTATTCGAAGTTCTTTGAATTGGGGGCAAGATCCTTTCATTTCCAGTTGTTCCATCCTGGGCCTCTTCCTGGCCACTAGGGGGCCAGGAACAATTTGAAACGAGCACAATTAGAAATCAGCGCGATTAGAAATGAACGACGTGCATTGTTGATCCAGCCTCTGGAGCGCATTCTATGTTTCAAATCGGGCGTGCCGCTCCCACGACTCGCACGTCGTTTCTCACGAAGGATATGTGCTTGAGACTCCGACTGGGCCCCTGGCCACCGGCTTACACCAACAACGATGATCGCTAGATCTCTCCTGAGAATCAAATCCGAACAGCGCTCTAGGCCCGGACTTCCTCACACATCACCCAGGAATCGCGCTCTCGCGCGGGACTTCCTCGCAATGTGTGCAGACGCTGCGCCCTCGATGCTCAGGAATCATGCTATCGCTTTGGACTTCCGTACGATTTACTTGGGCATCGCGGGGTCGCTCGAGGCTGCCTCGCACTTCATGCAGGACTGATGCCTCAGCGACCCGTCCGCTCGACCCTGCCGGCTGGGTCCGCCCGCCCGATCTGCCCGTTAGGGTCCGCCCTCCCGCCCCGTCTGTCTTGTTCTGCCGCTTCTTCTCCTTCTTCAAATACCATCTTGCGCATATCTGTCGATCTCAATCCTTCTCCCTCGCCCTTGCCGCTTCCCTCCTCCCTCCCTTCCCGTATCATGTTCCTCCTCGCTATTTGTCGGTTTGTGTCTCTCTCCTCTTCCTGTTTTTGGGGTTGCGCTAGCTCCAAGTAGCAGGTAAAGAAGATGTACCCCCAAGGGGGTACGATCGACGACGAAGACGGCTAGTGTCTAGGGTTTGGGGCTTACATGTTGAATGACACGCGAACGTGTAAGAGCGAACACTATTACAAGTATTGTCTTGTTGTTATTGATTTTGTTGACCCACACGCCACCCACCCGCCACCCACCCGCGACCCACCCCGCGGCCAAGCCCGCGACCCACCCGCGACCCACTCGCGAGCCCGCCCCCCCACTCTTATCCGCAGTTGCGGATACGAGTCGGGCTCGTGAGTCGACCAGTCGGGCGCGTAAGTCGGCCGGTGGGGCACGCAGCTGGATTCTCCGTATCCCCATCTGGGCGCGTAAGTCGGCCAGTGGGGGGGACCAAGGCCACGCCAGTCGGGGTAGGGATCGGTTTGATATTTGTTTCTGATGGTCTGGCGGTAGACCGTGCTATCGCCTCCCCCCCGCCTCCCCAGATAATCCAACCTTGTCGGCTGCGCAGGTCCAAAGGAGGTACGCAGGTTTGGTGCGCGCGGGCATACGTGGAGCTGCCCAACGCGGAACGGTTCGGTTATCGGCCGCCTCTTCCCTTCCCCACCAGATAATCCGGGCGATCGCCAAAAATGAAGGACGGTTTCGCAGGGATCAGTGAAACGATGCTCGCAGGCCGCGCAGGACAAGAGGGCCGCCCTCAGCTCCGCCGACGCCACCCTGACCGAGGCGAAGGTCACTCTCGTCGGCAGGCAGCAGGCCGAGCAGGCCGCGAAGGAACGGGTCGTGAAACTGATCCTGGAGCTCTCTGTGGTTATTCTCGGGATCCCGGGCCTCGCGCGCATTGAGACATGCAATGCGGAGACGTCTCGTTGTTTTCGGCCTCTGGGGCCGTCGAACAGCGACTCAGGGCACAGAGCTTGCCCGGGGGAAAGGGTCGGGACTTCCGGGGGCCCCGCGCTGGAAAGCAAAACACATTGCATTTGACATCTGGGCATTTGGGTCATGAATGTGCTGTCTTGTTTTCGGGATCCAAGGGCCCCCCGGGCCTCGAGACGGCCACATAACGGCTCGGGATGGGAGGCTGGTCCTGGCGAAACTGCCCAAGCAGTGTCTGCACCATGATTCTTCGCTCAATCCGCTCTCCTGAGTGCATGGGTCGGTTCGCTGGATTTTCTCCCGACCGTCTCCTCGTGGCCGTCTCGTGCGTTGGCTGGGTTGTCCAGATGTTCGTCGGGATGGTTCCCGTGGCCGCCTCGTGGCCACCCCGTGCGCTGTCTGACTCGGCTCTCTGTGTGCTCGTTCGGTTCTGTCGCCCCGTGCGTTGGCCTGCATTTCCAGGGTCTCGCTGCGTTGGTTCCCGTGGCCGCTTCGTGGCCGCACCGTGCACTGGGTTGCGATTCTAGACGTACACTTTTGGGGGGCATGCGCGCGGCGGCACGGCGTAGGTTAAGTCAGGCTGGAGCGCGCGGGTCAGGTCAGTTGACGCAGTGTTTCTGGGCGCGCAGATGCATTGCACCACATACGATGCATTACAGAGATTTGCGCCCGGCATGTTGCACTACGCAGCGTGCACCGCACATAGCATAGATCCCAAAAGAACTAGAGTCGTCCCCTCCCGCCCGACACGTTGCACCACGTAGCTTGCACCGCATAAAGTGCAGATCTTCGAACAACCTGCATAGAGCATACATACAGAAACATCGAATTCTTCGCTTGCCTTTGAGCGTTACGCGTTCAGACTTACTTCCAAGATATTTTTATTTGTATATGAACAATTTAGTTTGCGCGTGTGCCGAATAAACAATACAATGCAAGTCAGGCTGGGATCGCCCCGTTCATCCCTGACACGCGCTGTTCTAACGAGTTCACTCTTGCGAGGAATCCGATCAGATCATACCATGCGGACCACACGTGCGCACACAGTGGTATATATACCTGCTTGAGTTTCTAGCGTATACAGGCGCGTGTGCGTGCGGGCACTTTCGTCGGGGTATGCTCCGTCGAGGCCGTCTTCTCCGCGCCACCCGGAGGGCACCCCGGGCGCCGCGCCCGCGGTTGGCTCCTGTTCTCCCTCATCCGCTTTGTTCTGCTTGTTCCCAGCCGCTCTGGGCGCCGGTCGGTGGAGATCGCCGCAACGGCGCACGAGCGATCACTGGCCAAACAGTGCGTGCGATCACTGGCACATAGGGTGGCAGTGATGTGCACAAGCAGGGTTGTTGTTGTTGTCGTTGTCGTTGAACATTATTCCTTCTAAAGAATTATTATTGTTGGGACCCCTGGTGCGCGACCTCTGCGCCGCGCCTAGGCCGCAGCTACATTTTCATCATTTTTTCGCGAAAGCTTCAGAAAAGTGGATGAGCTCCGGATCCGGTTTTTTGTTGACGCTCGTTTTCCCTTGCAAAAAACAATAGAAAATGAAAATTCTTGTTTTTACTTGATCAAATTGCAAGAATCCCTTGCAAAAAATAAGGTAAAGTGGACATTCGTGCGCGCAAGACGAAATCCTTCCAAAACCTTAGGTTTCGTAACGATTTTAACATAAAAACATCAAAAACCCAATGGTTTTCTCAGAAAAAATTGTCAAAATGTCCTTCCGCGCGCTCTTGCGGATTCCTAGGAAACCCACCAGATTTTAAACATTTCTGTTAAAAGGGCCTTTGCGAGGAACCTTTTCAGGTGCTTCGACCTTCTGCAACAACGGTTGCGAGCCTACGAGGGCCACCATCCCTTGCAAAAAATGACACGAAGTGCACATGCGCGCGGCCGCCGCGCGCGCGTGCCGAAATCCTGCCAAACATAATGTGATTTCAATAATTTCAAGATGCGATGTTCCGAAAACATATGCAAACGCAAGACTTTCTCATCCGAAAAATATCAAAATCCACCCGCGGGCTCTTCATGAATCTTTAAAACCCAAGATGGCCCCAAGAGGCGCTCAAGATGGCCCCAAGAGGCGCCCATGAGGCCGCAAGATCCACGATCGTCCGCGCGCCACGAAGTGAAGTGTCCTGACGTCATAGGGCGGGAAGCTGGGTGTGGGTGGTTCCCGAGAGTCGTGTGGATGTTTGGTAGAGCTTGCATTGCCCCCCCACGAAGTGGGGGTATTGGCTGGCGTCGCATGAAAACCCTGGCACTGGGGAGAACACTGAGCGTTCGGGTAAAATGATTGTTGTTGTTGTTGTTGTTGTTGGTGTGGTTGTTGTTGTTGTTGTCGTTGTCGTTGTCGTTGTCGTTGTTGTTGTTGTTGTTGTTGTTGTTGTTGTGCAGGCTTTTGCCCGTGTTGTGTGCATGCGCGCTCGTGGTGTGTTTCAGGCTGCGTGCGTGTGTGAATTGAGCGGGGTGTAGTGCACGCCAAGCATGCGTGATCACGTTCGTATGCACTGGTTTGTTATTTGATTGAACCTGCGGTTTTGTACGAATGCCTGGTGGTGCACGCAGGCCACTATTTGTACACACGGCGCGTTCCTGTGATGCGCACGTGTGTTGCACGCCTGCACGGTGCACGACGGCGATTGTTCACGCAGGCTTGCGGTGCGCCCACACCTGTGGTAGTGTGCGCAGGGTTTGTGGCGTCTGCGAGCCACGCTGTGCTCACAAACCGCAAGCCGTGGTGAACACCAGGCCCGTGGTTCTGGTGCACACAGGCGTGTGGTTGTGCCGTGCTCGAGGAGCGAGAGGGTCGCCCGAGAGTGCGTTGGGCCATCTCGTGTCTGGCGTCCACGAGCGGCCGGGCGCTCCCGTGCGCCGCCTCACGGAAGTGCCCCTCGCCATGTCGTTTTGGGACAGCAGTGGGTGTTGTTGTGCGATTGGCCGGTTGAGCGTCCCCTCGGCCCGCGAACGCGAACAGTGTGCGAGTGGGTGAGTGTGGGAGTGTGCGCGTAGTCGTGGTGCGCGCGCGCTTCCCGTGCATTGGCGGGCGGGCCTCCGCGCTCATGAGCGCCGATGCCATCCCATGAAGCTTGCGGCATGCGCGGGTTTCCGTGCTCATGAGCACTTCTGGCGAGCGCTACCGAGCGAAAGCTTCGAACGGCTCGTGTGCGCTGCCTGCGAGCCTTCCCCCCTCCTCTACTGCTTCCCCCCCCCTTCCCCCCCCCATTGCTGCTCCCCCCCTCCCCCCCGTGACCCGTCGCGGTGCGTGGAGGGGGCTCAGCGCCGCGCTAGCGCCTCTCGAGGAGGCCGAGGCGGCCAAGAGGACCGAGTGCGAGGCCTTCGACCTCGTGGTTGCGGAGCACCTGGGGCCCCTCCGGGAGGGCGCGTGGGGCGGGAGCGCGCTGAGTGGGCAGCGGCACGTCGAGCAGCTGCGGCCCGCGCTGCAGGCCGCGGGCATCGACGCCTCGGTCCTGGCCTCGCTCGGCATCTCGGGCGCCAAGGGGGCCTCCGAGCGCAGCGCCTTCGACAGCTTGGTCCTTGAGCAGGCTCCGGGGATGAAACAAGGGCATGAAGATGATCGGGGGCGGCACAGAGGGGGGTGATGACTAGGGGGGTGGATATCATGGCGGGGGCCATGATATTTCCTCAGATTTCATGTCGCCTCTTCTTATTTCATTACGTCCCTGGCCCCCCCGCTGGGCCGCGCACATGCCGCTGGTCATGATTTGCACCCCCCTCTCTTGGACACCTGGCCGATCTCTTTATCGATCCCGTTATCGATCCCACGATTCATTATCGATCTCAGTATCGATCTCACGATTCGTCTCACTCAATTGATCTCACCCTCGATCTCATTACCGATTCAACCATCGATCTGACTAGGGAGATGAACATGAGCCTGGGACGTATCCAATCGTGAAGTCGTGAGTTGTTTTTTTTTCGAGTGGGACTGGTATCCGTCCATCGATGTGCTTGGGGACGTATCCGGGCGCGTGTCTCGGGGCCCAGGGCCCAGCGGCGTGCGAGAGAGTATGCCGGCGGGCCTGTCCAGGGGATGAGTCCGTGGACGCGCCCGGGGACGTGTCAGGGGACGTGCCCGGGGGGCGCGTCAGTGGACCTGTCTGGAGGCGTGCTTTCGCCTGTGTTTGGGGGCTCGCCAGGGTGCGAGTCAGGAGACGCGCCAGGGGGCGCGTCGGGGGGCATGTTCAGCGGCTCGGCAGTGGCTGTGGCTGCGCGAGGGACCGTGTCGAGGGGCGTGCCGGGTGTTGAGTTTGGGGATGTGTCCAGGGGGGTATGTCTAGCACCGTGTTCTGGGGCGCGCAGTAGGGCGTGCTTGCGATCGCGCTGGGGGCGTGTGCCATGGGGCGTGTCCGGGGCCGTACCTGGGCATCAGTGCCGCGAGCCCTGCCTGGACGCGTTCTGTTGGGCTTGCGAGGGGGCGCTGCCAGGGGATGCGTGTTCTCCGTTGCTCCCCAGGCAGTGCTTGAGCTGAGGAGGTCACGCGCAGAGATATGAGGATTGGGCGGAAGTGCCGGGCCGACTTCGGTAGGCAGCGGGGTTTCTGCAGTCCCAGTTTCAGGTTCCTGGGTTCCCGTTTGCTGGTTCCCGACCGAGTTCGGCGGGCGGCAGGGCTCCATGTACGATCGGTCTCACCATCGATCTCACTACCCACCTCTCGATTGATCTCACAGTGGATCCCACTATAGATCTCACGAGCGATCTCACCATCGATCTCACCATCGATCTCACTGAATCGACTTCAAGATTCGTCTCACGATCGACCTCACCAGCGTCCTTACTATCCATCCCACCATCGGTCCCACTATCGATCTCACAAGCGATCTCAGTATCCAGATCACGATTTTTCAAACCATCCACTGTTTGGGGTTTCTCTCTGGAGCAAAGGGTTTGCGCCAGAGCCCCATTTGCGGCGCCTCTGGCGCCGCACGTGGCGCGCTGTGCGCGCCAGGGAGGCGGAGATCATGCCACGCATAGAGTGAATTCAATGAAGACATGCTGAGTTCATTGGCCGCGGCGAGGCGGCCATGATGCCCCATCGCGTCGCGGAAGATGCCGAGTGAGAAGTCCTATGGTGGCCTTCTGCGTTAAGATGAGCCCCATCTGACGATCTCGAGTTGGGTGCGAAGTGCCCAAGGTGGCCCAGGGTCCATTTCGATCCGATCGGTCCGATTCGACACTGGTTCTGGCTGGCCCGATCCGATTCGATTCCGACCTTCGTTCGACCCGGTTCGGCCCGATGCCTGCATGGCGTCGTCGTGCATCCTTCCGCGGCCGATCCGGTTCGACTCTGACTCCGTGCCGATGCGGCGCGACCCGACTCACAAACCGATTCGATCCGACTTCCCAGTCTGATGCTGGCCGATCTTGCCGCTCAGAAGGTAGGCAGCCTGAGCGGTCCGCCTCCCCCCGCGCTGCTGTGGCTATGGCACGAGGCTCGAAGTTCATGCCTTCGGTCAGGATCTGTGCCTTCGCGTGTCGCTCCGCCACCTCGCGCGCGTCGCCTTCTGCTCTTCTTTTCTCGCGCGTCCTCTGCCTCATTAGTCTCCGCGCAGCCCGCTTTGACCTACCTCGCCGCCGGCGCGCCCGCCCGCGGCCGCTGCCTAAAAAGTGTCGTTCCGCCAGTCCTGGCCAGCCGCGCCTCGGCGCGACACGCGGCCCACCGCGCACCTGCCACACCTAGCGCAGACCTGGCGCACCTGGCGCGCCTGTCGCACCTGGCGCACCTGGCGCACCTGGCGCTCCTGTCGCACCTGGCGCACCATGGCGCACCTGGCTCACTTGGCGCGCCTGGCGCAACTGGCACACCTGGCACACCTTGCGCAACTGGCGCACCCCCTGGCCCCCGCGCGCCGGCGCCCCCTCGGGGCCCTCTTCCGGCCCCCCCCCCCGCCCCGCGCGGGCGGAGCGCCGCGCGCGCTCTCTCCGCTGGCAGGGCACACGCTGTGCCGCAGGGGCCGCCGCCGCGGCGCGCGAGGCAGCGGGCTCCCGACCCGCAGGCCCGCCCCTGCTCCTCCTCCTCCTCCTCCTCCTCCTCCTCCTCCTCCTCCTCCTCCTCCTCCTCCTCCTCCTCTCTCCTCCCTCCTCCTCCTCCTCCTCCTCCTCCTCCTCCTCCTCCTCCTCCTCCTCCTCCTCCCCCTCCTCCTCCTCCTCTTCTTCCTCCTGATCTTCGAAGGGCGCGGCGTCAGCATGGGCCACAGTCGACCAGGTGGCCACCGACAAACAGAAGGAGCTCAAGATCACCATGGAGGAGACCATTGCGGCCAAGCGGTCACCCAATTCGCAGATTTGATTTAAGCCCACCCTCGGCCGATCCCTGGCTCCCGCCCACCTTGGGTACGGTCGCAGCGCAGGGGGAGGCCAACGAACAGGGGACGTCGGGCAGATCTACTTCGGGTACGGCGGCTTTCTCTATTGGGAGGAGGCTATTCCAGGGGGGTGGCTCCTGCTGAGACCCCTGGCATGTGCATCGCAGAGGCGAGTGTATTCCAGGGGGTGGTTCCTTCTGAAACCCCTGGCCCTTCTGAACACCAGATGGTGGCCCCTCCTGGGACCTCTGGCATGAGCGACGAGGGTAAGCTCGTCGTGGATGCAGATGGCAACTACTTATTCCAAGGGGTGGCTCCTCCTGAGACCCTTGGCATGGACATCGCAGATATGAGTGTATTCCAAGGGGTGGCTCCTCATGAGACCCTTGGGTGTGGAGGTAACATGGAGGCGTGTGTATCTCAGGGGGTTGCTCACCTTGTGTCCTCTGGTCGGACCCCCTGGAAACGTGATATCATCGGTACGAACACGGGCTTACTCTTCTGGGAAGGGACGGTTGTCGCCTCTGGTTGGGAAGGTACTTGGAAGTTGGTGATTGATGAGATGGAGGTTTCAAAGTCACGTGCGACCTGGTATTCTCGTCGAGACAGGCGTCTTGCTCGCAGGGCACCCAGCTCACAGGAGGATTGGGTCAACAGAGCGTCGAGCAAGCGCCCAGTCGTTTTGCTGGAAGGAGATCAGTGGCACTCTCGTCGAGACAGGCGTCTTGCTCGCAGGACACCCAGTCCACAGGAGGATTGGGACAACAGAGCGTCGAGCAAGAACCCAGTCGTTTTGCTGGAAGGAGATCAGTTTATGGGAAGATGGCCCGCGCATATACCTTTCTCACGGAGACCTCCTAGCCAGACCAGGGAGCGCCAGAGGCTGCGAGATGAGATGACGACCGCAGTAGCAAGGTGGATACACAACATCAGAGGGGAACGTTTCAACAGTTTAGAACATTGGCGTGAGTGGTGCGTCCCCTACTTCAATGAATCTCTATCCAGACCAACGAGTAGAGATTTCCGAATGTACTTGGAGAGGCTATACGGACGTACGTTGGCGGAGATCGCAGAGATCATGTGCAAGGAAGTCTGGCATCGGGCAGAGCCGCATCGAGCCCTTTTCTTCGAGGCGCTCAACAGCATCAGGGACGTGGAGCAGCGCCGTCGCTTTCTCAGGTGGCATTTCGATGAGCTGCATGAGTTCCGACGCCATTTTAGGAGGTTGCTTGGCAACAGGGTACCTCCTGATCGGTTTCTACCTGATGATGACTACGATGAAACTCAAGACAGGATCGCACTGGTACGGGGACTGGTGAGGCACCGTATTTGTCAAGGCACCCAAGACATGTCGGTGCAGGAACAGCTTGCGCATGTTGAGTGTCAGGAGAAGAAGGAAGGCATCCTGTTCCACATCTACATGCGCAACATGTCTACTTGGGGACCATCGGCGAAGTTGCTCCGCAAGAGGCCTTACGATGCGGTCATCACTCAGGAGACGCACATGGACAAGACTGAGTCGAACGACGTACTGGTTGAGTTCGACAAGGCTGGCTACACAAGCATGGTGTGCCCAGCGGGAGCGGGGTCCAGCTGATTTTCTGCGAAAGCTGGGGGCGTGGCCATGGGGATATCTAAGAAGTGGGCCTCCTGGTCACTAAGACACCTTGCGTCCAAGTAGGGGGATCTGCCAGGGAAGAGAGAGGACAAGAAGAAGAGCACAGCAGAGCTGAACCAGATCACGGGCGTCAGGTTCAAGGACATGGTCGGTGTGCAGGTCCCCTTGAAGGGCGCCCACATCACCATAGTGGGTGGATATCTTTACAATGGACTAGGAGTCACTGGGGCTAATGTGGAGAAGCTGCGGCACTTAGCATCACTGGTGGCATCTCTTTCGACGCCCTGGGTTATCTTGTGTGACTGGAATTTCCCCCCTGAGACGCTGCGCAAGGCAGGTTGGCACAACCTGGTGCAGGGCAACACCTGGGGACCAGACAACGTGGAGTACACGCGCGCAGGTGGGCAGGGCACGTCGATCGATTACGTGGTAGCGCCAGGACCTGCTCTGGAGTACCCCGATCGAGCGCATGCTGATACCGAGATGGTGGGCGACGGTGGCAAGGCGCATTGCGGCATTGTGCTCGACTTACTCTTAGCAGCCAAGCAGGCGGAAGGTCGCACGCTCCGACGTCCAAAGGCTTTTGGGCCACCTATCCAGCCGAAGAAGAAGGCGGACCCGCGCAGCAAGCGTTCGCGGAAGCTGGTCGCGGCAGCTACTCCGACGACCGAGAGTCCAAAATTACCGGCTTTGGGCACGCGTAGGAGGATGGGGATCAATAGGGCGCCACCTTTTGCAATATCTTGGCCCCTTAGACTTGGGCGAAGCTACAGAGTCAGAAGATATGGGCGAGGATGCCGAGGACGACTTGCTGATGGAGGAAGAACCTGGAGGCGATCTCGTTCCACCTATTCCTGAGACAGTAGGAGAAAAGTGGTCACGTGACAATCGTGGAGACCTCTGGCGATCTCTTGTTGTCAAAACGGACGGTAGATGGTCGAAACCTCCACGCTACGTTCAATCCTCTTACGCTGGGCAGCTTACCTCGGACAGTTGCAAGTCTCTTGGACATACCTTTGGCCAATGGACCATTAAAGTGGAGCGTTATTTCAGCTCGTTATTGGATGGGGAAGGATTGGACAAGGATGGGCACGCACATAGAGGCCGAGCTCTGGCACGGAAAGTCAACGTCAGCAATGTGGTGCCATCGCCGCCCTTCACTCGCACGAGGGACGCTGGAGTGGACTGGCGGGCAAAGACCGCCCTCTTGCTGGAGGAGTTGAAAAGGGCCTGTGCGAAGAGGGGGTCTCCGAGTTTTGGGAAGCTCATTACTCGTCTTCGTGAAGCTACAGGTTGCGTGCCCAACTCGACGCTGGCGACTCTCCCACGGAAAGAAAAACTTTCTTGCCGCAGGAAGCTACGCATGCTGAGCTCGGCGACCCCGGACACCATCTGCAGGTGCAAAGAGGAGTGTGCGAAGCTGGCCAGCAGCATGCAAAGGATGGAATGCTACTCTCAGTACTTGGCATTCTCTCAATGGGCAGAGGAGCAGTACATCTCGGCGCCTGGGAAGTTGTTCCGTCTTAATAAGCACGTTCCATCAGCAACAGACGAGTTCGAAAGGGGCCAGAACATTTCCTTTTGACCCACTCACGGCCATGGACATTCGGGCGTCGGTATGGCGGGAGAAGTGGAGTGACGAGTCCTTGGGGATCGAGCGGATAGCGCAGCTACTCTCTACGGCCAGAGACAACGCCAAGGCAACCCCCATCCCCGTCTTCGCTAGAGGAAGGCATCAGGAATATGAAGGTGTCATCGGTGGAAGGCGTCGAACAACTTGGGAAAAAAAAGACCTTGTTTGGCTACCTGGGTCGGGCAAGCAAGGGCTGGTCTACTTCTTCCAGCCGATCGAGCAGGAGGCTGCATGGCCCTGGCAATTGGCTGTGGTTTTGGTGGCTCTCACGAGGAAGCCGCCGGGGGACGACAGAGCCATTGGAATCTGATCCAGCCTGGCGAGGTTGTGGTCCAGTTGTCGAGGTGAGTACCGCGCCACCTGGACTAAGACTAGGGCTGGTCACTGGGATGCAGCAGTGGCTGGGTATTCGGCTCTGCGCGAAGCTTTACTACGCAGTTACTTGGGCGAGACGGTGGCTCTCTCCACGATTCAAGGCTGGGCTCAGGCAAGTTTGATGTGGGACATTGAAGGGTTCTACGATGCGCTCAAGTGGAAGCTACTCTCCGAGTTGGGACTCGAGCGCGGGTTTCCTCCCAGTACCCTCGCACTGGAGATGATTCTGAATATGGGTGTACGCTTCCTTCGGGACAACGGCCACTACTCGGACGCTGTCATCCCAGAGAAGAGTATGATTGCAGGACTGGGAGAAGCAGTTGGTCTCTCGAGATGTGCACTGTACAACATTTTGGACAGAGTGGCACAAGGCACCCCAGCAGTTGCGACTAGGTCTTGGGTGGATGATGTGTCTCAGCGAGTGGAAGGGCGGTGCAAGCGCGCATTGGGGCTAGCCTTGCAAGCTGGCCTGGCCTTGGCGAAGGGTTGCACGGAAGCAGGATTGGTAATCTCACCCAAAGTCCATTATCGTCACCAATCAAGCGGACCTAGGCAACGCATGAAAAAAAAAACAACAACAAAAAAAGGTTCGAGAAGGAGGGCTTCGCGGTCAAACTTGCAAGTGTGGCAACGGACCTCGGCATCGACAGAGGCGCTGTTGGCTTTCTGCGGTCTAAGTAAGCACAGCGACGACGTGGCGCAGCCGCTCGCTTCAATCGTGCCAAACGCTTTGCGCAAGGGGCTGCGCGCAAGAAGATGAGTGGGAAATTGGCGATGATGGGAGTTTTACATATGGCGGATTACCCGGACAAAATATTTGGAGCAGCGCCAACCGTCATCAGAGGTTGGAGGAAGTCACTGGGGCAGACGCTGGCGAAGAAGTGGCCAGGACGTTGCCCTACCGCGCTGCTGCAGCTTCGAGTTGGCAGTAAGGGCCCGCAGTACCAGATTGTACACAGGTCGATTGAATCCTGGATGACAGTTATTTTCCAGCCCGGGCTGGACCTGGAGCTTGCTCGACGCGCCTGGAGGACAGCGCGCAGGAGGATTGAGATGCGGGCGCAGAAGGGTAGATGGCGGGGTATCACTGGAGTTGCCTCGGCTACTATTGCGACTCCATTGGGCATTGGATGGGGCCCAGTCGGACCATGGGCGCGGATTTCAGATGCTGGTGAAAGATCCATGGCGCCCGACAGTATCATCGGGCAAGGCCAGCAGGACATGGGCGAACTCAAGGAAGCCATCTCCGACTCCATCGTCGAGATGCTATGGGGCAGGGCCTCTAGACACTGGAATGGCAAAGGTGTGGAAGAGGGTGCAGATCTTCGAGACGCTCGGAGGCACCTCAGCTCCCTCCGCAAGAAAGGCGAGCACGATATGGCAGGCGCGATGGAAGCAGCGATGGCGGGAGCGTCCTGGACTCGGCATCGGATCTCAATTTTCAGTAGCTGCATGTTGGACACCACCGCATGTCAGAGATGCGATTGTGGGCAAGAAGAGACGGACCTGCATCGTAACTGGCAGTGTCCTTGCAATGTGCACTTCTCGAGTATATCGCAGAACTTGACTCGCAGACTGCAGAGCCCAGGAGGACGTCGAGAACCTGCTGTGCCTTTGGTCAAGAGGAATCTTGCCTGCTACCTGGACGAGTGTGGAGGGCCCCACTGATTCACCTTTCGATGAAACCATGGGTCATGCGAGTGATTTACGAGTGCGTGAGCATCCTCTTGTCGGTGGAGACGCTTCGGGAGGAGAACATTCAGCGGACCCGAGATTGCGCCGGATTGGGTGGTCATACCAGGTGATCCAGGTCACGAGCGATCCTGAGCTAGACGTGAAGCTATTCTACTCGAGGGGAGGTGGGATCCCCAAGAAGCAGACCATCAACAGGGGTGAGACTACGGCGTTTCTTCGAGCATTGGAGGACTTGCTTGAGTTGGGCATACCAATGACCTCCGTGACGGACTCGGGGTATGTACTCAAGGGGATCGCAAAGATCTCCTCAGGACGGCTGCCTACCACCAATCTGGACCTCTGGTTGCAGGTGAAGCAGGCATTGGTGCGGCACCCGCAGAACCTACAAGTGGTCAAGATCGAGAGCCACATGACCGTCGAGCAAGCCAAGCTGACCAACACCAACGTCGAGCACTACCTGGTCAATGCTCTAGCGGATGAAGCCGCGGGGTACTGGGCTCCGAAGTGCGCAGTATCGAGTGATGTCGCTGCGGCAGTTGAACATGCTGAAGCGATTGGTCGAGCAGCGAGGAAGCATTTGGCGAAGGCTTTCCTGGCAGCGGCAGAGGCGGAGCCAAGGCGTCTTCGACCAACACGCTCGATGGCCAAGAAGTTCTGTCGGAAGGTGGCGATGTCGGAGCACCAGGTATACACTGGCATGGGTACGTTTTTCCACTGCTCTGCTTGTGGTTGCAGCGCCAGCGGGAGGAAGCTCGAGACATTCTTGGATACGCCTTGCTTGGGCGGAGCGGTCAAGGGTAGCATCCAGCGGATCGGCGACATGGGCGTCATGGTGCAGGGTGTTCCCATCCACGAGTCGCACCTGCTTGGGTACTTCAGTGACATGAAGATCCACGCGTGCCTACGGTGCGGCTGTGTTGGCAAACGTTTCCTCCGTGGGTTGGCGGCTGAGTGTTGTGGGCATCTCGGCCATTATGGCTACCAGAATTTGGGCACATTGGCACGTGGTATTTTACCTAAAGGGAGAATCACTACGACGCGAAGGGCACCAGCATGAACGGTCACTTCTTTCCACCTGCTCAGCTGGGAGCCTGGTAGCTACGATCTCGCATCGTGTCAGCCTCCGACTACGGCCTCGACGACGGGTACTACTGAAGGTAACTCCGTTTGAGACCTCGGTCATCGTCACTGTCGAGGTGTTTTCCAAGGGCCGCTCTGGTGAGTCCCCTGGCAGCTGTTCTGGCAGCCCTGGTGGAGGGCTTCGTGGTGCTACTATTGGGGGTGGCTCAGATGAGACCCCAGTCATGGACACCTTCGAGGCGGTGTATTCCTGGGGGTGGCTCCAGTTGGAGACCCCAGGGCTGCTGCGGCCGAGTGAGGCCGCCCTCCCTCTCCTTTTTCCTTCGCCTCCCTTTAGTCGCGCCTCAGGCCTCGGTGTGGAGCGTGGCGACGGGCGGCCCGAGGAGTACTAAATACTCCTCCTCCTCCTCCTCCGCCTCCGCCCCCTCCCCCGGAGGTGGCCGCCAGCCTGGCCGAGAGGGCCGCCGCGCTCCGCAGGGAGCTCGCGGAGAGGGCGCCTGGCCTCGCCGAGGCGGGCGCGTGCGTGGCGGCGCAGGCCTCAGAGGTGGACACGGCGGAGAGGGCGGTGCAGGAGTGCAAGGCCGCCTTCGAGCAGGCCCTTTCTCGGGTATGGCCAGGGCCCCAGGTAAGCAAGGGCGCCCTCGAGGGCGCGAAATTCTTCGCGCTTCGCGGTTCGGCTCCGATTCCTCCTCATCCTCCTCTTCTCCCCTGGGAGGCGGCGCGAGAGCGCGAAGTTATTCGCACTTCGCGCTTCGCGCAGCGCGAAGCGCGAAGTTTTGGAGCCCTTGGTTAAGGGGACCCGGTCAGTAGTAGGGCCCCGGGGCCTCAAAACCGGCCAGGATCACCAAACCAGGGCTGCCGTGACGTAGCCTGCGTCTTTGTCGGGTGACGGCAGGTCCGGTTAGTGGAACAGGGCGGGAGGGGCGCCCCCCAGCACACGTCACTAAACCAGGTCCCAGTAAACCCAGTTCTGCTAACGCCCGACTTTCGGAAGCAACTCGTGAGAGTCCTGTGTGTCCTCGAGCTTCAGTTTGTAGAGTGCGTCAGCCTCTGGTGGTCGATGAGGAAGATGATCGATTCAGCGTCCATCAGCTTCGGTCTAGCGCCGAATGACGTCTACTGGCGTCGGCTAGCGTTGGAAGAAGAAGAAGAAGAAGAAGAAGAAGAAACAAAACGCTATATGGCTAAACTTTTGGCGCTCCGCGCGGATTTCTTGGATCTGCGCTGGGCCCCCCCGGCGGCGCCTCCGGCGCCGCCCCTGGCGCGCTCCGCGCCAGGGAGGGGGGTCCAGCGCAGATTCACGAAATCCGCGCGGAGCGCCAACAGTTTATGCCTATAGCGTTTTTTCTTCTTCCAGCTGGGCAGCGTGGGCTCGCAGGAGCCGGCCTGGCACGGGAGGCTCCCGGGCGTGCCGGGGCCGCCCTCGAGCAAGCCCTAGCGGCCGGCTGCGCCGCATCTTGCCGGCCCACTCTTCTGCGTCTTCCGCCCTTTGCTCCCCTCGCCTCCTCCGGGTCCGCTTCTCCAAGGGCGCCCTCGAGGGCGCGAGGTTCTTCGCGCTTCGCGGTTCGGCTCCGATCCCTCATCTTCCTCTTTTCCCCTGGGAGGCGGCGCGAGAGCGTTAAGTTATTCGTACTTCGCGCTTCGCGCAGCGCGAAGCGCGAAGTTGGGAGCCCTTGTTCTCTGTCGATGGAGTGCGCGTGATTGCCCACGGAGCTTCGACGCGAGAGTCCATGTCCTTCGATGCTCGTTTCGGGGGCCTTCTTGGGGCCCACCTAGCGGACCTGTTCGACTCCAGGTCGACTCCAATTCGACTCAAGTTCGGCTCAATTTCGATTCAGGTTCGACTCAGGTTCGACTCGAGTCGGCGGACGTTCGACGCAGCGTCGACGCACGAGTGGAGCGAGTTGCTCCAAGCGGGTCTCCAGAAGGAGCATCCAGATTTCTACATGCTGCGCGCACTGAAACTCTAGGTCTGCCATCGGTTGTGAACTCTCTTCGTGGACGTCGGCCCCGAGAAAAAGAAAAGGCCTTGGCCCAGCTGCACGAGAGCGAGGCCCAGGCCAAGTCCGCCGCGCAGGAGTTGCGAGCGTGCGCCGCGGAGGTCCAGAGGCCGGGGGGGGGGGGGGGGCGCCGGCGGCACGCAGCGGAGGGCCAGGCGAGGCAGCGGCAGTTGGCCGTCCAGGGGCCCCCTGTCGTCGCCAGGGCTGGACGCAGCTCGGAGGGCCGGTGCGTCAGGACCCGAGGAGGAGGAGGGGGAGGGGAGGGAGGGAGGGGGAGGGAGGGAGGGAGGGAGGAGGAGGGGAGGAGGAGCAGGAGGAGGGAGGGAGGGGGAGGGAGGGGAGGAGGGGGAGAAGGAGCAGGAGGGAGGGAGGGAGGGAGGGAGGGAGGGAGGGGAGGGAGGGAGGGAGGGAGGGAGGAGGAGGAGGAGGAGGAGGAGGCGGCGGAGGAGGAAGGCTCCCGGCACCCGCCTGGAGCCGTCGTTCTGCCTCGGCTCGCCACGCTCCGAAGCACCGCGGCACGGGCCCCGGCCAGCCCAGCGGCACGGGCCCGGGCCGCGGGGCGGGCGTGGCTCGGCGGCGGCGTGCGGGCGGCGCCCCCTCTCCCGGCGAGCAGGGCCGCGCAGGCCTCGGAGGCGCGGCGGCCACCGGCCACCCAAAAAAACCACCCCGGCCCAGCCCGAGGGCCCCGAGTGGCTCCCCATTGCCAGCGCGGGCCCGGCATCGCTCGGACGTGTGCATTTGTTTCTCGGCGAGGGCCATCGAGGACCATCCTGGGCCATCGAGCACCAACAAAAAGCACGCACAGGAGACCGACAGGTGCACGGGGAATGGACGTCCGAGCGACGGCAAGGGGGAGGGGGTCGGGGAACATGGAAGAAACACATGAAGCTCGTACCCCCCATCCGAAGTTCGGGCGAGATTCGGGTCTTCGGGTTTGGTTCGGGTGGCCTGGTGCAACGATACGGCGGGGATAGGCATAAAGGGGTGGATGCATCGACGTCGAAAGGATGATATCTGGGCGATCTATCTCTAGGCCTCTCAGATGGGGTCCGAGCAGGTGGGGTTGGAGGATCGCGTCGCATCGCCGATGCGGCTCGACGCAGAGCTCGATTTCCTCCACCACGACGGCGCCGATGCATCGCCGAAGTCGCCGGTGCATCACCGATACATCGTCGATGCATCGCCGATGCATCGTCGATGCAGCGCGATCTTCTACTCGGACCCCATCTAGGAGGCCTCGTGTTATCGGCGGTGTACAGACGACAGAAAGGGCGGTCTACATCGACGACGGATCGACGATGCCCCGGGGGGCGTCTCGGCCGGTCGAGGTCGACACACCCCTCCCCCTTGTGCGTACCCCCCCCAACCGTTGCCCCTGAGAGGCGGCCCGCTGCGACCTCGAGCTCTTCCGGGCGGGCCCCCTGGCGGCCTACGAGGCTCAGGAGGGGAAAAAACACACAGACACAATTAATCGTCGATTTCCTAGGAAATATTGGAAAGTATGGGAAGTGGGGGGGAAGACAAAACCCAGAAAATAGAGGAAAATATGGGGAATCCTGTTATTTGTGTGTATTTATTTGTGTGTCCCAGGGCCCCTTCAGAGGCGCTCCGGGACGCCGGCTCCAAGTGCGCCGGGGCGGCGGGCGCGGCCGCGGCGGCGGCGGAGGAGGCCGTCGCGTCCTGCAGCGCGGGCGGCGCCTGAGGTGGAGCGCGCCGTCGAGGAGGGGGGGAGGGAGGGAGGGGTGAGGTGCAGCGTGCCGTCGAGGAGACCGTCGCGTAGCTCTCCACATCTCTTCCGCCTCCCGCCCTGCCCCCCTCCCCCCTCGTGAGGGGGCCACATGCGAGCCCTACCCCTACCCCCCACGATTTCTGAGGGGGAGGATGGGGTTCACTTCGCTCGGGAGCTCCCGAACGAAGCGAACCCCACCCTCCCCCTCAGAAATCGTGGGGGGGAGGGGTAGGGTTCGCATGTGGCCCCCTATCGAGGAGGGAGGGGGGCAGGGCGGGAGGGGGAAGAGATGTGGAGAGCGCGGCGGCAGACCCGCCGCGGGCGTGTAAGGTTGAAAACTGCCAGTGGCTCAGAGCTGGCCAATATAGAACGATCTGGCGATCGAAATGCTGCCGATCGTTCACGGTTAAACGGTCCACGCGGTATCAGAAACCAACGCCGAATGCGTCACGGCATGAGTTTGCTATAGACGGAGCGGGAAGGATGCACTGGTTTGGCCAATCCCGCGGGCAGGATGCGCCATGCGAGCCGATGTCTCTCCTCCAGCCGTTCCCCTCTGCTGGCGTCCCCGTCGCCCTGCACGGGCCTCCGTTGCCAGGGCGCGGCAGGTTGTAATTCGCTTGCTACTGGGGGTCAGCCTTTTGCTTTTTGGGGGTCAGGGAATGGTAGGCTCAACTCCTTGGATTTCCCTTGTTCCGGACCTGATCTGTCTCAGAACATGCATCTGCCTTGGGGTCGCCCTGAGCAGTTCCTTCGGCAACTCTTCGTCAGGACCCACGCTTCTCTCAGAGAGCATGCTTTCCTTGGATTCTCATTCGCTGAGTCTGACCCCCAGACGTCTGATCCCCATCACTGGGCGAACGACACCGGCGTCCGCGCGCCCGGGGGGATGCGAGGACGCCGGAAGCCAAGGCTGCTCCGAGACGGGGCGCGCGGCCCGATCGTGGTAGCTCACGGCGGGTCGGCGCGCCCCGTCGTCGCAGCTGCTCGGGGCCGGCCACTGTACATATGGCACGGCCGCCCCCGCTGCGTGTACCACTACACAATCGGAGGAGCGAGAATGCGAACACGAGACAGCAGCATGAGCACACAGCTATGGGGGAGCCGCGCGCGGGGTTCCTGGATCTGCGCTGGCACCCCCTCCTCCGGCCTCCAGCGCCGTACTCCAGGACTCCGCGCGCAGCTCCGCAGGTTTTGATGCGTGCTGTCTCTTGTTCCCCCGAGAAGCCCCACCAGCGCAGTCGGCAAGGCCATCCCCCCGCGATGTGGTCCACGGCGATGCCCCCCCCGAACCGGAGGTCGGTGATGCCTCCCGCGGGCCGCCGACGTCCGGCGGCACCGCGCCACCACGAGGGCCTCCCTGCGCCCCCCTGGCCGCGGCGGCGTTGGCGCGGATGCTCCTCGCCCCTCCTCGCTGCCCAGGGGCAGACGTCGCGAGGCGGACTCTGCCCTTGACCTGCGGGCGCCGGAAGCTCAGGAGCTCCTCAGCCGTCCACAGAGGAGGCGCACAGCCTCCAGGGCGTAGGCAGAGGGTCGAGGATCTTCAGGACGTGTGTCAGCCCAACGTGGAGTGGCCCCCGCGCTTCACCGACTCCAGCGAGCCTGGGCCGCAGCACGCTGACGAAGACCTTCATGGTCCGAGCTCGCCCGCCGGCCTGCTCGTCCCCGCCGCGGCCGCCCTGCCTCTCGCGTCCCTGCCTCTTGCGGTGCGCACTGTGCTGTCCAGCGGCCCTGGGCCGCCGGACCGACCCACGCGCTCACCGGGTCCGCGACGAGACAATGCTGCCCCATGCGGCGTCACCGCCGGCACGCAGCCTGTGATGGCCCTCGCCTTGCCGCCCGAGTCCTATCAAGGGGTTTGGCGGACACGCGCACGTTGGCGCTGACACGCGTGCTGGAGGTCATCGAGAGGGAGCCTCCAGAAGGCAGGCCGCGCACCAGCTGTGGGACGCTCTTGAGCCTCTAGGGGGTTCAAGCGCCTGCTTTTTTTTGTTTGCGGCCGCCGCCGCACCCGCGCCGCACCTCCAGGGATGCTGGGGCGACCCTGGCCGCGATCCAAAAGCGCCGCGGCTCCCCCGCCACCGCTTGTGAAGTGTCCACGCGAGTCCTTGTTACAGTCATGGCGCTGCTGAAATGAGGTCCAGCTCGGGTTCGGATGGGGCTCGGTCCGTCTACGTGCTTTCGCAGCTTTCCCGGAGGCAACGACGAGGGAACGCCACCCGAGAGGGGCTCTGCCGTATGACTAGCTTTTGGCAACAAGGGTTTCGTTCCTAGTTCGCGTTCCTTCTGGAGTGCCATGCCCGTACGCAGAGGAGGGAGGAGCAGTGCGCCCTCGGGAGCCCCCGCGCCGACACGGCTGGACGCGGCGCGGAACACATGAGTGCGCCTGGATCCCTGGAGGGTCTGTGGATCTGCTGTTGTCGGTGGCGGAAGAGAGAGGGGGGTGATGACTAGGGGGGTGGGGATATCATGGAATGGGCCATGATATTTCCCCAGATCGCATGGCGCCTCTTCTTATTTCATCACGTCCCTGGCCCCCCCGCTGGGCCGCGCACGTGCCGCCGGTCATGATTTGCACCCCCCCCTCTTGGACACCCCCCTCTTGGCCGCTCCCGATGTTGTCTCACATCACTCTGTAGGCCTCCCCCGTTCCCCTCCGCCTCCCCGTGGGCTGTGGGCATCCCTCGGCACCGGGGGTCGACCTGAGCGGTGTTCTAGCGATTTCGAGCGCCGTGCCTCTTCTCGACACTTCGCCTTGCAGCACAGGCAGGCAGTACTGAAGACAACACGAGGGAGAACGAACACCACACGACAACGAAGAACACGGCTCTGGTCAATCCCTGCTCGACACCTCCCGCGCGCGCGTCTCAGCACAAGTGACGGGCCTGTTTCCCACCACCACCATAAGTTGGAGGGGGAGGGGTCCTCCTCCTCCTCCTCCTCCTCCTCCTCCTCCTCCTCCTCCTCCTCCTCCTCCTCCTCCTCCTCCTCCTCCTCCTCCCCCCTCCTCCTTCCCCCCTCCAACTTCTGGTGGTGAAGGGGAGCAGGCCCCTCATCTCCGCCTCCCGCTCCTCCTGGCTGCGCTGCCCCCTCGCTGGTTCCGGGCCCCGCGCCTCTCCCCGCTGGCTCCCTCCGCCCTCCGTGGGCGGCCTCTCGCGTGTGGCCCTTTTGCCTCCGTCTCTCCGGGCCCTCGCTCGGCCCTCCGCACGTTGCCACGTGCGCTCGGGGAGCTGGCGCTCGGCCCCAGCCACAGGTCGGGCCTGTCCCCCCTACAGGGGGATTTTCGACGACAAATAGAAAATGGAGTCAAAGAATACCCAAGACATGTTCAAGAGTAGTCCAACAAGCGTCCCCAGACTACGTTTTGACTCTGTTTGAATACTCCTCCTGTAGAGGGACCTGCCCGACTCAACTCTGGCCCACGCCTCCACACAAATCCCGCCGCCGCCGCTGTGGAACCCTCCCCGCCGCCTGTGCTGCACCACCCGCTCGGGGGGGCGTAAGGGTCGGCGGCGACGATGGGGGCGAATAGCCCAGGCGCGGGCATTACACGCATTCGCCCGGGAGCCTTTTCGAAGACGCAGATCATCGGTGCACCTGGATAGGAGGAGGAGGAGGAGGAGGAAGAGGAGGAAGAGGAGGAGGAGGAGAAGGAGGAGGAGGAGGAGGAGGAGGAGGAGGAGGAAGAAGGAGGAGGAGGAGGAGGAGGAGAGGAGGTATGTCTCCCCCGGGCCATTCGCCCCCATCGTCGCCTCTGAGGGGGGGGGGGGGCCTGGGCGCTCTCGTGCCGAGGGGCGGCCGCGCCTCGCCCTCGCGACGTCGGGCGAGCGTCCGCCCGGCCCGGCGCGCGCAGTGGCCCGGGGACAGCGGGGGCCGCCAGGGTTGAGGCGCTCCTGTCCCTCCACAGCAGGAGTGTTCAAGCGTAGTCAAACATATTATGGGGCCGATGTATTGCATTAGATGTTTTGTTGGATTCGTTGGGGTGTGCTTGTTGGTTTTCCCTACAGAAACCGCCTGTGGGGGGACATGCCCGACCCAACGCAAGGGGACGGGGTCCATGCAAACGGGGGTCCGCCGGAGCGCCAGGTCTCGCAGGAAACTGCAGAACCAGGTGCACGGCTCGAGCCAGGCGTTGTGTTTGGGCGATGTCGTGGGCCGTGGTCGTTTCGATGTCGCTTCGCAGCAGAGGCAGGAGCCAGCAGGGTCTGGCTGGCTCGGGTGTGCATAGCCCCAGGTCAGTAGATCCCTGGGAGGAACGGGCAGGAGCTCGCGCGGCCATGGTTTCGGGCCCGCGCAGTCGGTGCCTCTGATGCCCCGCCCATCGCACCATGAGTACGCACTTCGCACCCAGGGTGGTCGCGATTCGGTCGGTCCGGCTGCGTCGCAGTCGGTTGCGTTCGGTTCGGTCGGCTCTCGGGATGTTGCCGCGTCGCTACGCCCTTCTAGGCCGCCTGCGGCCTATCTCGATTTCAGTCGGCTTCGGCTCGGTGGGTCTCTTTGGTCGTGCTGTCGCCGTGGACGACCTGGCGCACTGAGGCTCTGCTGCTCTCCCTTCCCTGGCGCCCTCCCCCCTCTACGCCTTCTCGGGCCTCTGGGGGACCGCTCTTCGCCACGGCTGGACCCGCCTCGAGGTCCCAAGCACAACGCGCCCGCCAGAGGGAGGAGGAGGAGCTGTGATAAAGAGGAGGAGTGTCCAGATTGGGGGGCATGTTCTTGCACACGCCAGCCCCCGCACCCCCGAGCTCGCTCTCGTAGTGCCCGCCCGACGAGGCACCTACGTCGGCTTCGAGCTGAACCTCTCGAGCGACCCGGTGTCGTACACTCCAGACATTGGCATACTGGCCTTCAGCGCGACGCACCTTGGGCCGATCCAGGAGCGGCGCCGCGCCTTTTCGCTTTTTCGTGACGCAGGGGCAGAAGAATCCCGCTGACAAAAAAAACACGAACACCATCCTGACCGTTTTTTGTTCGGGCTGCCCCAGACGCATTTTTGAGGCCCCCCCCCTGAAGGCCAACCTGGGAGGAGGAGCAGTTGGATGAACAATGCCAACCGGCATGACCAGCATAAGGGCGATACTGATGTTGAAGGACGGGATGCTGATGACCACCGATACGACTGTAACAATGACGATGGCGATTATGATGACGATGGCGATGACGATGATGATGCTGAAGCTGATGGTGGTGATGATGATTATGATGATGGTGATGCTGATGCTGATTCTGATGATGGTGATACTTATGATGGTCATGATGCTGATGATGATGGTGATGATGGTGACGGTGCAGCTGCTACTGATGATTATTAACATGATGCTGACGATGATGACGACGATGATGATCATGCTGATGCTGATGGTGATGGTGATACTGATGATGGATATGATGATGCTGATGATGATGGGGATGAGGAGGATACTGGGGATACTGGTAATGCTTATGCTGGCAATGGTGGTTGTATTGTTGATGATGCTGGTGAAATTACTAGTGATGGTGATTCTGAGGATGACGATAGTATTCACATGTATGGAAACTGTATTAGGATAAGTCGCCATCTTCGGCCCTCGAGTCAGTCGGTCCTTGCGGCCTTGGGCAGCGCGACGGCGCCGCGTTGCCCTGCTGGGCCTCTGCTATACCTGTCGATGCGCCGGGGCCCACGCGCACCGCGGCGCTGCTTCCCCGAGGAGGTCGCGCGGCGACTCCTGCAGCCCACGGCCAATGCACCAGTGGGCAGGCCCAACGCTCGAGTGACGAAAGGCGTCCGGCCCACGGCTTCGCGGGACGGTGCACATCCGAGCCGAGGGAGGTTGGGCTCATTGGGTCCCGTGGGCGTGCCCCTCGTGCCAGCAGCTGCCCGTGAGGGAGGACCGCAGGCACCCCTGGCTGGGCGTTGCCTGGGGGCGAGCAGGGGCATCCGGTCTCTCCCGCCACAGTTCTTGGGCTGCGGGTGGGAGTATTGTCGGCTGCCTCCTGCGTTTCTTGGCAAGCACGCCAGGGGCGCCGCTTGCAGACGATTTGAGGTGGGTCCTCGTGGGGGCCTCTATTTGGGACCTCGTGGGTACCTCTCGGAGGCCTCTTGTCGACTTTTGGGCGCCCCTGGCAGGGGGCACCTTGGTGGTCCCCTGTTGGTTGGGGCAGCCATCTTGCCACAAAGAGTGCTTGTGTGGCAGCATCGGGTTCACCCTTCCGGGACCCAAACACATTGAATACACATTTACGGGTATTCAATGGTTCCCCGCATCGTGGAGATACTGCTGCCCACCCCAAAAGCCAGACTCCAAGCCCCTAGAAGACCGTCCCTGCCGGGCCTCTGAGCGTTTCAACGGTTCTCAATGCTCAACCTTGAAACCTCGAAGGGACTTGACGACCTTGAGGACCCTCGCCTTAGTGCCCACGCAACATTTGTGGACATGCTATCTGCATATCTGTTCATGTATGCACCCACGCGAGGCGAGAACAGCACTGATCCCACGAAGTAGCGCTCAGATCCAAACTACTGGCGTGTGGATTGTTTAGGCAGTTTGGCGTGGGAGGCCGCCACACACCGGGCAATGAGACGCACCCCTCACACACATACATCTCGATGTCAGTGGCAAACAAACGAGTGGTTTGTCAGCATGTTAGTTTGCTACAAGAACATGTGTTGCAACCTTGGGCGTCAACGAGTGAGACATGCCTTTTTTGAATGTCTATGATGGGTGGTACAATCGATGTTAGACGAGGTATCTGTTGTTAATCCTATGTTGTGTAATTCCTGTTTGTCAACTCGCGAGGTGTCAATTCCACTGCTCGTGCAGTCATCCTGCCCTCCCACCCGCAAGTTGTTCTGCAAAACCCACGCGGCGGAGATTGCAATGACTGCTTGGCCCTGGTGGGCGCATCTCTACGGCCGCGCTGGCGCGCCCAAGTTCGCGCGCAGAGTGACCAGCTGGTTTGGCACAGCCGATGTGGCCGCGCTGGCGCCTACCGATGGCAATTTCCCAGCGCGTCTCACATGCTGCGCTGGCGCGCGTGCTCTTCATTGCAGACGGTGGCTCGGGCGGGTGCGTTATCATGATGGCGTCGGCAACGGCGGCAACGATCCTGATAGTAGTGATGGTGGTGGCGATGATGACGATGACGATGGCAAGTCCAATGACGGCGCCGATGTTGATGCCCGTTTGTCGGCGATGAAGTTGCTTGAGTCGTGGTGCCCGCAACTGCGGCGATTGTCAATGATGCTGACGTGTTGCGGCGGCGGCGACGGAGGTGGTGGTGAGGGTGTGCGCGCGTGGACATCCAAAGTGGGGTTCTTGTTTTTTCTAGACACCCCGCGCAGGAACCAGAGAACACGTACCCACCCCCTTCCTCTCTCTCTCTCTCTTTCTCTTTCTATTACCTTCGCACTCCCACTCAATCACACACACACACCACCATCACTCACATTCACCGACTCACCCACCCACGCACACTATCATCACCATCGTCGTCATCACTCGCACATTCATTCATTCACATACTCATCATCATCACTCACTCACTCGCCCAGTCATTCACCCACCCACCTACCCACCCAAGCGGGAACCTTTTATTGTTAGTGAATGGCGAGGAAGTCTCAGGCGGGAGCCCCTTCCCTATGGGGCTCGCAGATCATGTTGCTAATCCAAGCGGGTCATCGGAATCCTGTAATGTTAAGCTCCTCAAGCTTGAATGATGGGGAAGTTTCAGGCGGGAGCCTTGCTTGTGAGTCGATTCGTGTTCCCCCCTTGGGCCCTTCTTGGGGTTGTCTGCGGGCTCTATTGGGCCTTCTTGGGCGCCTCCCGGGATGTTTTGGATCTCTCTTGGGCCGGCTGGGGGCCCTCTCGAGGGCCTCTTTGGCCGTGTTTGGGCGGTCCTTGGGACCTCTTGGGCCGTCTGGGAGCGTCGGAAGCTCGAAGCGTCGAGAGCCCTCCAAACATGTCGAACCTACAGAACACAAGATTGTTGGCCTCTCGGGGCCCTCTCGGGGAGGCTCTTGAGGCTCTCTTGGGGTGTCTCGAAGGCTTCTTCGGCCGTCCTGTGGCCACCTTGGGCGTCTTGGACCGATCGTGCGGCGATTCGGGGCCCTGTTGGGTTCCTCTTTGGCGGCCTCTTGGGTTCCCCCCTGTCCCGTCGTGGGGCCCTCCTGGGCCAGAGCAAGTCGTGCGGGAAGACCCGACGGGGCCGGGGAGGCACGCGGCGCGCCCCAGGGGTCGCGCGGGAAGCCCCAAGAGTTTGAACCATTTGGGGTCCGGAGCCCGCAGGATTGGGGACCGGGGCTTCGGGGATTCGGCCAGGCGGCCAGGCGGCCCCTCCCCTCCCTGCTGCCCTCTGCCCCGCTTCTCGGCGGCTGGCTGGACTTGGCCGGCGGCCGCCTGCCGCCTGACCTGCTGCCCGTGGCCGGGCCTGGCCGCGGCGGCATTTTCCGGCTTCGTTATTTAATGGATCAGGGGCTTCGCGCCACTGGCGCGTTGGCAGAGGGAAGGCCACCAGCACGCCTACCTCTTCGCAGTCTTTACCGGAGGACACTCCAACTCGTACCTCAGGGCATTGTGGCGGATATGGATGCATACGCATAGATGTGCAAATCTTGGACAAAACTCCCGCAACCAATACATACACACACGTACATATCCATATCTGTTTAGATACACACACATATATGTATTTATATCACATTATGTGTCGTGTGTGCGGCACTGCATACGTATATGTAATATCGTAATATTATGACGAAGTGGCCGGCGCTCATGCATGGACGCATTTACGAGCTGTTGCTAGTCTTGCAACCCCAGCAGGGACAGTACGCTTGCACTACGGAGCTTTACTTGTGTATCTACGGAGTTGTATGGGTCTGGCGTTGTTTCGTCACGTTCCCGCCCGTTGCCAATTCGTGGCGCCTTGTTGCTACCTCGTGCGCTGGGCGTGTCTGGCGGGGTGTCGGCACGTTGCCGCCCGTTGCTTCCGCGTTGCCACTTCGTGAGTTGAGTGGGTCTGGCGAGATTTCTGCACGCCGATGCCCATCCGTTGCCGCCTCGTTGCCGCCTGGTGCGGTGGATGTGTATGCGAGACTTCGGCACGTTAACGCGTTAACGCCCATTGCCTCCTCGTTGCCGCCTCGTGCGCTGAGTGGGTTTGTCGAGGTTTTTCCACGTTGATGCCCCTCCGTTGCTGCCTCGCTGCCGCCTGGTGCGCTGGGTGTGTCCTGCGAGGTTTCCGCACGTTAATGCCCGTTGCCTCCTCGTTGCCGCCTCGTGCGCTGGTTGGGTTTGGCGAGGTTTCGCCACTCTGCCGCCTCGTAGCTGCCTCGTTGCCGCCTCGCGCGCTGGATGCATCCGGCGAGGTTTCGCTGCATTGCCCCTCGTTCCCGCCTAGTTGCTGCCTCTTGTGCTGGGTGTGTCTGGCGAGGTTTCGCCACATGCCTCTCTGCCGCCTCGTGCGTTGGGTAGGTCCAGCAAGGTTTCGCCCAATTGCCCCCCGTTGCCGCCTCTAGCTTGCACCACGTGTGCTGCACCGCATAGCTCACACTACATAGCTTGCACCACATATTTTACACATCCCGTGTAACAACTTGCCGTTGGGGTCTCACTCAGACCAAAGCGCTTGCGTATATTTGCATATATGTTTGGGTATGATTGCGTGGACCCCCAGGCAAGGAGCTCTTGCACCCTGGGAGTGCAAACTGTATAGTGCACGCTACGTGGTGTAATTCGCCGGCCCAACGGGCCAGAGGCGTGCTAAGATCTCCGGTAACTGGTTAACAATTGTATTGTACTAGTTCGCGCGCGCGGGGCGGC